GAAACGTTGAAAAAACAGTAAATTAATTAATATCAAAAGCACGTTTAAAAAGAAACGTTTTCAGATACACTTTAAAAGATTCCAGTGACATGCAATTCTTAATTTCAAGAGGCAGCTCATTCCATAATTTAGGGCCAACTTTCTGAAACGATCTTTCTCCATACTGTGAATATACTCTTGGTTCTATAATCTGCAAGTAGTTACAGTGAAGATGATCCGCTGAACAACCATATTTCCATAGACGAGATAAAATCAGCTATAGAAAGGCAAGAAACAAATGACAAATCATGTGATGCAGACAATATTCACCCCACCATCCTCAAACACATAAAAACAAATTGTCTTCACGTCTTGCAGATCATATTTAACTGGTGTATGAGCACAGGAAAATGGCTGTGGAAATCTTCCGATGTAACATTCTTGAGGAAAGAAGGAAAATCCAGCTACATGTTACCTGGTGCCTATAGACCGATTTCCATATCATCCTACTTTGGAAAGATTTGTGAAAGAGTGCTAGATAAAAGATTGAGACTCTTCCTGGACATTGAAGGAACTCTTGATGAAGATCAGGAAGGTTTTATTGTAGGGAGATCAACAACGCGATATCTTTTCAGAATGCTGGCTAACCTTGAGGAAGTTAAACGACAGAAGCTGGCATGTATAGTGCTTTTCCTTGACTTCGAAAAGGCATTTGACAGTGTTCATCTTCCATCACTATGTGTCAAACTATCAACTCTCGGTATTCAAGGAAATATTCTTAACGTGCTGAGAAGTTTCCTGTTCAACCGGACGATATGTCTAAAAGTGAACAACTATAAAGGAGAAAAAAGAAAATGCACAATATTTGGACTACCTCAGGGGGCTGTACTCTCACCTCTCCTCTTTATCCTATACATAGCAGACATGACGCACAACACCCCGGAAGAGGTAAAAAGATATCTAAGCTGCTACAAATTTGCTGATGATGGTACACTTATGATTTCCTTTGAGAACATCTCCGGATGCCATGAAAAAATGCAGATGGTATGTGACCACCTTAGCAAGTGGTGCATCAAGAACAAGCTAGTAGTGAACTGTGATACAAATAAAACAGAGGCAATAATCTCGAAAACTGCAGCCTATAATGAAGAACAGAAACCTGCAGAATTATGTATTAATGGGAAAAGCATCAACTACGTCAAAAGTACGAAGGTCCTTGGGGTAATAGTAGATGAGGACCTCAATTTCAAGAAACATGCGTCTCAAAAACTTAAAGAATGCAAAAGAAAGTGGGGATTAATAACAAAATCAACTAACCGCAACTATGGTCTAAACGTTTACAGCCTCACTCTCCTCCTTAAGACAATGGTCCTCACTAAACTGTTCTACGCAGCACCTATTTGGCTTCACAAGTGTCTCAATCAATTTAAAAGCTTCTGGAATAAAATAATTCTAAAAATATCTGGATCAGTCCTGAACCCACAAAGGGAATTAACCGAACTTGCTCTCCACCTACCACCACTGGATGTGCAACTCGAAGCTCTCTCGGTTAAATTCATGTGCAAAATACTCACACAAGGTGACAATCTTTCAGCTACCCTCTACCAAGTTGATGAAAGCAGAATACCAAGTTTTCATGTCCTAACAATGTCACTGAAAAAGTACTTCCTCTGGAAAGAAAATAAGTCACACGGAACCAGAATGATAGACCTAACGCAGCAACATTTCAAGGATCTAGCCTATTACACTCAGGCAGACATAATGAGCTACAAAAATAAGATCTGGATTGACAGCATCGAAACAAATCTGCAATGCAGAACTGTCAGTAACAACAAGGAGACCAAGATACTCGGTGTGATCACAAAGATCAAAAACAGTGGGCTGCTCCTAGACAAAAACAACTTTTTATTCGGGCACAACACGAGTAAAAATCTGGACAGCCGAATAATGGACTACATTCACGGCAGCTCACCACTCTTTGCGAACATCCAAAAGATCATGGGTGGTGGCAGTGGTGAGGCCTGTCGTTTCTGTAACAGCTTCATTGATTCCCCCGTACACCAGCTCCTATTGTGTCTGGAGGTGCAAGACACCAGTTACCTGCAACTGAAAGAAGAGCTGGGTGGGGCAGACTCACATTCCTATCTAGATGAAGTGTTAACAAAAAGCAGCACACAAAAAGCATTCATTAGGAGAGTCGAATTTCTTTGGGGACAAAATGATGCTCTCCAGGATTTATCCGACTAGAAAGATCATGAAATAAAGACTCTGCAAACATCTCAGAGAAATATTACCACCATAAAGAACAAAGAGGGAGTATCCTGGACCCCGAAATCCACCACTTTTCTGTACTTTCAGAGGTACCAATGTGGCAGGAAACCAGGGCTCATGCTGCCGCTGAGCTAAAGCAGTAGAGGGGATGGCGGCTTCTCTAGGATCTAACACGTCCTGAAGCAGACCAACACTATGTCCCAACGCACTGGTGTTGGGATGTCTGCCCCCGGTGCCTGTCCGGGTCAATAAAGCAGTCAAGCATCATGTATGTTATGTTGAGCATTCTCAACCAACAAATGTGGGAACTCCCACGAAAGACCAAAACAGATCTAAAGAGACACTTAACAACATTGGAAAATAGACTTCAATTTGTTTATATAATTTATAAAGCGTATATTATTGCCCACGTTAAGGGGCCTGTTAATAATTTATTAAATTATTAGCTATTTTAGATTTAATAATAATCTTGGTTCAGTCAAATAGATAAGATGATTATAATTGGCATATTTAAACATATTACTTAAATAATCTGGTCCCATACCATTAAGACATTTATAGACAAGAAGCAATAACTTATATTGAATTCTGTAACTAATAGGCAGCCAATGAAGGTCTTTCAGAGTGTCTCCTAGATGATCATATTTATATAGTCCTACTATAGCTTTAGCAGCTGCATTCTGAACGAGTTGGAGTTGGTGGATGAGGTTGTCACTAATTCCATAATAAAGAGCATTGCAGTAGTCCAATTTGCAGACAATGATGCTGTTAATTATAAACTTGAGCTGAGCTTTACTAAAGAGATATTTTCTCCTTATAACATTCCTAAGGAGTCTGAAACAATGCTTTTTGAGGGACATGATTTGAGGCTCAAAAGTAAGATGATGGTCAATTTGAACACCAAGGTTCTTTGTTGTGCTGACAAATCTGATACAGGTATCATTTGATAGCTCAACTCCCCCTATACTGACCTGGTTTAGAACTTGAGGTGAGGCGATGATAAGTATTTGTGTTTTTCCAGGATTAAGTTGAAGGCAATATTCAACCATCCAGCGCTGTATGGTCCTAGCGCAATTCACAATTTGGATGCCCAGAACATTTACCTGATCACAAGGTTTGAAAGTTTTATATACCTGGTGGTCATCTGCATATCCTTGCACATTGAATCCAGATTTCTCGATGGTCCTATACAGAGATCTGATGTATATGTTGAATAGCACCGGTCCTAACACAGAACCTTGAGGTACACCAAATTCTAGAATGATCATATCACTAGTAGAAGAGCCTATTCTGGTTCTTTGAGTGCGGCCTACCAGGAAACTCTTGAACCATTTAAGAGCAGTACCTCCGATATGAATCTCTTCAGAAAGAATTTTGAGTAATTTTCTGTGTTCCACTGTGTCAAAGGCTGCAGATAAATCGAGCATCATGAGAACAGTGGAGGGTTTGCTATCACATGCCAGCAGTAGGTCATTTGTTACTTTTAACAAGATGGTCTCAGTAGAATGGAACTTTTTATAGGCAGATTGCTGTGGAACATTGAGATCATTTTTAGCCAGATGTTCATTTAACCTTTTCAGCACAACTCTCTCGATGAGTTTACCCAGAAAAGAGAGGTTAGATATAGGTCGATAGCTCTTGAAGTCATTTGGATCAAGTTTGTGGTCCTTGATGGTAGGAATAATGTCAGCAGTCTTCAAACCGTCGAATGTGCCCTTAGCTAGAGACTGGTTGACCAGTTTGCACAAGACAGAAATGAAACTTGTGATATTGTCTTTGAGGACAGTTGTTGGAAGAAATTCAGATGGTGCACACTTGATTCCACTTTCTTTGATTATTTCAGACAGTTCATCCTCTGTGCATGGTTATATATATATGAAATATATTTTTGTCTGCTTTAATTGATACTAAATAAAATTGTTGTTTTCTTGAAATTGTTGTTTTCTTAATGTTAAATCTCACTGTACCATATTCTGAATATGGTACAGTGAGATTTAACTTAAACTGAATATGATATTCATTAACTTATAACTTATTACCTACTACATTACAAATTTTGCTCCTTCATAAAATTAAAAATTAAAATTTTAAATTTGGACACGAGTCTCGAAACACCCTGTACATATGTTTTGATTCTATGTCCTTAGAAGGGTATTCTTCTAACAGTTTTTGACTGACTTGAATGTCCTGCACAGCATTTTGAAGCTTCTTTAAATTATTTTTTCTGTTCACCCTTTTGTAAAAAGGCAATAGTGAAAGGTTACGAATGGACTTTTTTGCAGAAAAACGTGGATTTTGAAGAACGTTGTAGGTGGGTTTAAATATGTCGTCGGTGCGTACTTCCGTTAGTATTTAGTAACCATGTCAACTAGCGCGCAGTGCAGCGCGCGAGTATTGCTTGCGGAGATGTGATGTATATAGCTAGCCTGTCAATGAATGCGCGGCGCGAGTGTATTTTAATGTATACTATGTAATGTATAGTATTAGGTAATAAGCCCAATTTATGTACGTGGCATGCGTAGTATAGTGTACTGATGTGTATCAATATTATTATTATGAAGTGAGCTGATTGGAGCTTATATTTATAGTTATAGTGAATGGAAATCTAGCGTCCGCCAAAACGAAACAACGGGCGCAATTCTTGTTATCCTTATTGTATTGCTGTGTAAATTTAATTCTAATTCTAATAATGTATTCAATTGGATTCTATTTATAATTCTAATTCTATTCTTTATTTTTTATTCTTTATTGGTCAAACCGATTTTAGAATGCCTTACGACGGCAGGGGTCCAGACATAAAACGTCGAAGATTTGATGATGACAATTTGAGAGGGTAAGTTAATGCTAACTGATGATTTAGCTAGCTTGAGTCATTAAATAGTACTTTTGATTATAGTGCAATTCAATGTATGGGTATTATTACCAGATTGTATAATTTTTGGCAGGATCTCTCCTCAATTAACCCTCTACCACGGATTTCTTTATCATTTGGCTGAGTCAAATACAGGAAAATGCGTAGAAGTCCTTAGGGCACCCCCTGGGATTGATGGCCCAAGCAGATCTTGAACCTGCAACCTTCTAATTACAAGCCCTTTCAAGCAACCCATGGACCACAAAGATTTATTATATAATATGTAGGCTACAGTAGCTCATCCACTTTGTCTGTAAAAATGTCTTTCATTGGTTATTTTCAGAAGGCGTGGAAGAGGTCGTGGAAGAGGGCGACCTGAACGAGGGCATCATGAACGCCCCAATCGTAGAGATGAACCTATAGAGCAACCAGAACCATCACAAGGACGACCTAAACGTGAGAGAGCTCTTCCATCACGTGTAATTCAAATAGGCCAAGCAGAGGAGCTTACTGAAGATGACATAAGATCAGCATTGGAAGTGTTCGGAGAAATCAGGTAAGTTTACATAAATATTGATATATAAATATGCAGTACCATTAACCAACCGATAAGCTGCTCAGCTCATAATAAATTGATGATATTCAATTGCATTTTAAAGCGATTTGCCCTGAAGTATGATAATTATGACCAGTTTTATCCTGTTCAGCGTCTTCGAAAACATAGAGTTTCGAAAACAAAAATCCTTCTATTTTCGAATGCAGGGTTAAACTATACTATGATCATTTTATTTCAATTCCTTTAAATGAATGATTGCAGGGGAGTGGTTTCACCATCAAGAGATATTTTCTTGGTGGAATTCAGCACCCTCGAGCGAAGTGTTTTCTTCATCAACCACACTGACAATCATGGATTTCTCATAAGATTCATATCGCCTGATCTGAACTATGGACCTGCACAGGATCTACCAAGGTAATTATAAAAATGATTGAGATCTCGTTTGTAATTATATGATCCCTTTTACTATACAATTTTCATACCATATTTCTAGTTGGAATTACATTTTGGTAGCACTTTATCCAATCTTGAGTGTGGGAGTTAAAACTACTGGGAAAAAATTCAACATTTCAGAATAAAACAAATATTCAGAATAAAACAAATATTATATTCAAATCTCTTTATTCAACAATATTAAATCATTATAGGGACCTAATTTGTGGCTTGATCGTTATGTTAGGGCTATTCTGTTAGCTGATGCTGACAGGCACCGCATGGGGCAGAGACTTAGGACCATTACGCTGGAGACTTACAATGACCCTTTTTTTCAGTGCAATGGCAACTTTTACAGCCAAAACAAACACTAGTGGGGCTAATCATGTGCTGGAGGTTAACGTCTTGAAGCCTATGTACCCAATTACCAGTGTAAGTTTTCAATTTCCTCACATCGTTTAGAGGACAACCATGAGATCGGAATTAAGACCTAGATTTTGAGTTTATCTTACTTGTCATGATAATTTAGTTTATGGACACGTTCATTTGAATTAGAGGATATTAGTACTTAAATAATATATATATATATATGTGTAAATAATAAATAATAAATAGTTGTTACCTTAATTTTAGGAGGTATTGCACACAATTGCGTCTCCTCATGGACGTGTGTCTAGAATTGTCATCCATAACAGAACAGAAGAGAAAATAGAATCACTTATTGAGTTTGACAGTATCATGTCAGCCGAAGCTTGCAAAGAGGCTATAAATGGAGCAGACGTTTATGCTGGCTGCTGTACCTTAGATGTCAAGTTTAGTAAGGTGAGAGTTTTAAATCTTATTTAGTGTGCCCAAATTCAGAGCACAAATGTTATATCTGTATGTCAAATCATAAATGACCAAGAAACTGTTAATCAAGAAAACAAAAATTATATATTCAAAAACGTTTTGGTGCTCCTATCTGTCACTCCCCCCCCCCCCCCCTCCCATTTTTAATTTCTATAATAAATCAAATCTGACTCTTTCAACCAGGCGCAGTCATTGAATGTATTTAAAAACGATGATGATACGTTTGATTACACTGATGTGAACCCTGCTATTGCCGGTGAGTAAAAATTTCGCTGACTTATGAATTTATTCATGATGCATCTTTACATAGTATTTTGTATACAGGCAATATTAGTTACTTACTATGTAATGAAAAATGGTTCATCAACTTTTCCACTCCGGACCTATCAGTTGCACTCTTTATTAGGCAATGTCAAGAATTATCATTACAACTGTAGATATGTAGAAGGACAAACTTGTACGTTTCGGTCAAATGCTAGCAGAATTTGTCATTTGATAAATTTACAGCTTTCCTAATTTACAGCTTTCCTTATTTGCGGCCAGACTAAGTTCATATTTTTCATTTCAGCGTGACAAGAAACAAAAGGGCCAAGCTATATTAAATGTCTGCAATGAATAAACACATAAACATACTAAACTGACAAATACAAATGTCTTAACTTAAAAATGCAAGGGAGGAAAATTCTAAACAATGTGCTAACCAAAAAACTGATTATTGAGCTTGGAGTTTTAATTTATGACCGAAGCTTAAAAACTAAATTGTTTTTCAAATAATCTGCAACATAGCAATTTATAAGAAGCATATCTGAAATGATTATTTTGTAGTCAATAAATGATGCTAAAAATCTAACATCGAGGGGAAAACTCTAAAGTTATACATGTTTAAGAAAACATAGCAAGCTGAATTATACTTGTCTCAGTGTCTGCAAAGATTAAGAAGCTGTAGTCATGCATCATAAATGGTTATTCAAACAGTCATTACCTAATATCGTAAAACCTGGAGAAGCATAACTAACATTTCAGATTTACTCCCACTATAACACACTGTAACAGCTAAACAGATGTCTTCAAGAAGATCCAACACATTCAAATGAGGAACACATCCAAGACCCTAACTATAAGATAATACAGATTTGTCTTCGATCAATTATTGTCGTTGAAAGGCTTATCGAATAATGGAATGTTTGGAGAATTCGAACCTTTCGCTTCATCAATGATAAAAGTATCATGAGTCATTTTCAATAATCGAATAGAGTCATGGTTAATTAGTTATAGTAGAATACAATTGAAGTGTAATTGATAATTCCACTTTTTAAGTCTCACTTTAATATTGAAGATCATATTAAAAATTTAAAATGATATTAAGGTAATGGTTGATATAAGGAATACTTAAAGGTTAAAAATCGAAACTAAATAGGTCCCAGCCAGAAAAAGAGTATTTTGTCTTGACACATGATATTAACGCCATTGGTTTATCATCAGCTCCCTGATCATAGATTTTTTTACGAAGAAGTTTTTCTGCACTGCTCACTGCTCAGTCAGAGCTATTCAAACTCACTTCTTGCTAATTTAAACCCGCTTCATCTAAAGAACAGAATTTGATTGGTCCCTGACATCTGAATTGGCCATTAGTTTATTTTAACATAAGTTTGGCTACTTACAGAAGTGAGTAAAGGAGACATATAAAAGTCCATTGGAGTCACTAATAAACAATGCTACTGCTAAATTCTATCGTATTATTTATTTGGTTCCTTTGATCTTTTGATGAATCAACAAGTCTACATGAAAAGACTCTTTAGAAAATAATAAGAGATGAAAAGTGGAAACTTCTACGCTCAAGATCGCTGACAATACTGGAGCAGCCTCTTTGACTCCCAAAGCTCAATGTAAGATGAAGCTTAAGAAATAAAAGGAGAAGAAATAGAAATCATAATGAAGACATTTTCAAAAGAAAAATTATGTATGAAACTGGTATGCTCCCAATATTATTAATCAACCGAAGGAACAAGTTCTGCATGTATTTACTGTTACATCGTGTTTCCAGTGCAGCATAGACATAGGACCGGTCATCAGGTTATCCATCTAGAATCAGTCAGGAAGCTTTAAACCAAGTGCATAAGACTTATAATAAAGATTTGAAGACTCTGCCTACGTGATCCAAATTCCTCACGACTATTCTAAAATTGGTGGAACTGATTATCCCATCTGCTCGTAAGTTATAATCTGGTGAGTATTTCATCTGCATTGTATATAATGGTAGCCCTCATTAAGAAATTTCATTGTCATAATATGATATTGCCAGATTTCCTGTAAGAATTTTTAATTTAAATAACTCCTCATTGCGCTATTGTGCTATATAAAATGATGTTTTGATAAAAGATGGCCCAGAATTTCAGGTCAAAATGTGTAGTACTGAGTGGCTGAGTAGTACACCTTACTTGTTGTATATATGTTAAATTATATTATATAATTCTGGACCATCCGTATTATTTATTAAATTATCCGTATTATTTATTGAATAGTATTATTTATTAAATCATAAGCTAATAAACTCCATAAGCTGCTTTTTTAAATGTCTGTTGAAACTTGCTGTTTCAGCTAGCAACAGAAAAAGAGAACCACAAGGTCCTTCAGAAGATAACTATGGTGACAGACATGGTGAGGCTGTTCAGAGTTCTTACTAATTTTGTAATTGTTTGGCACACTTTGACTTTAAAGTTTCCGTATCGTCTTTTTTTCTGAGACAGTTTCACATTTTCTTGATAACTCTTAAACGCACCTCATTATGTACCAGACATGGGCCGGGGACCAGGAAGACCAAGAAGGGGTGACAGGAACATGGACCGTAGTGGGCCTGGACCTCGGGGTGAGACGATGGGGCCAGGGGGTCCACCTGCCGTTCTCATGGTTCACGGTCTGGACTCTACCATGAATCCCAGTAGACTCTTCAATATTTTCTGCATGTATGGCGATGTCAATAAGGTTTGGAATACATCCTGTGATGGGAGTAATGTTAATATTATACTTCTGAAGTTGACACTTTACACGCTCAATAAATGCAAATCACTGCAGTGAAAATGAATGTGTTATTGTTTAAAAGTACCTAAGATTATTCTGCTTCTAGTGCTAGTTTGCAGTGCTAGTTTGCAGTGCTAGTTTGCAGTGCTAGTTTGCAGTGCTAGTTTGCAGTGCTAGTTTGCAGTGCTAGTTTGCAGTGCTAGTTTGCAGTGCTAGTTTGCTTCTAGTGCTAGTTTGCAGAAATATGTTAGAGTAAGGAAAGGTAAACCAGATTTTGACCTAAGAGACACTTGTGACAGTTAAGAAAATAAAGAGAACTACAAATTTGTTTGTATTAGATAAAGTTCCTGATGACCAAGAAGGGTATAGCAATGGTTGAGATGAAGAACTCAAGAGGGGCTGATAATGTCCTCAACCATCTTAACCGGGCTAAGGTTTTGGGATCTCAAATAAGTGTGAGTAATAAAAGTACTGAATATGCTTCAATTGGGGTTTTCAGGCATCGATCCATTTAATAAGGCAAGTGTGAATTTGCGACGTCATGACCATGATCTATAATAATTACGACGATAATTTCAGATCTCGCCATCTAAGCACAGAGAAGTTGTGGTGTATAACTCAGCCCCTGGAATCCTGGAGGACGGCTCTGAGAACGTACAGGTCTTTGTCAACTCGCGTTTTCTAAGGTTAGTAAGGTTCTCAGATTGAGAAAGGTTTTCTCGTAAAAGGGGGTGGTTGTCTTAGGGTTATCTTAATTATTATCCGAAAAAACAGTTAGTACCGCGAAGGGGGTGCGGTGGGTGGGTCTTTTGAAACATTCCAAAACTTAGTACCTGATCCCCTTCCCTTTAATATGATTATTACTAATAGGTACTCAACTGAAAAGAAAGCTGCTAAGAACAGATTGGTTGATCCAAGTAAAATACTCCATTTCTTTGCGTTGCCACTAGAGGTGGACGAGGTAACTATAATTAACATGTAACACTTTAATATGGTAGTACAAGCACAACTGGCCTTGTTTTTGGTAATGTCATACAGTGACATGTTATTATTTCTGTTTTATTTGCTGATATGAGCTTTAGAACTTACACAGGCCGCTTATGTAACTTTTATATCAGGACTTTGTACTGAAGTTGTTAGAAGACAAAGGTTGCCCTACACCCACAAGTATTTCCATGCATAAATCAGAAGTCTGTTCTGCAGGTTTGTTAAGAATTTAGATGGTTTGCTGATGAAGTTTATTATCACAAATAGGAGCCGAGCTGAAATCTGTTCCGATTCAGGATTCGGTTAAATTTTTGATCCGGTCTGGTTTCATTTTCAAAGTCAGCTAAAAACTTTTAGGCTGTTAATTTAGGATAGAGTTTTTGTGGCACTTATCTCAGTTTGTTCTTTTGTAGTTATTCTCACACAGCTGAGTAAAAGTTTTCAACTTAAAAGCAGTGTTTATAATTCAATTTATTATTTTTATTTCCTTCAGGTCTGCTTGAGTTTGACTCAACAGAGGAAGCTATGGACACCGCTGCTATTGCTAACCACATGCAGGGTACTCACAAAGGAACAAGGTTATTTATCCTTTTATATAGGGTAGGGTGGGAAAGATAATAATAGATTAATTGATTCCAGGGACATTTTGCAATGTTCACCTGATCTTATGCATTCACCTTCCAAAACAAATCATTCAGATCAATATTCAATAACTTAACCTGAGTAACATGATCCATAAAAGCAGTGTCAAAAAACCCTACCTTTTTTTGGAGCAACTTTATTTAAGTATCGTGACAATATGATAAGATAATTCTAATTTGTTTTCGTATATTAGATAAATAAAAGGATTATTTCAACCATTAAGACGAGTTTTCAAGCTTCTATCATAATGTCCAAAATGACCCTATCGATATTTTTGAGGGGGTTTAAATTTAATATTTTGGACATTACTCATTTTCCTGTCGTTTAACTGGCTGCATGACAACTGATCAAATATAATGGTGTTTTTCGTTCCGATTAGAATGCGATTACATTATTTGTTTAGATACTGGTTACTTCTACTGTAGAGTATTGATGTGATACAATTAATTTAAATCGTATTTTTTCAGATATCTAATGAAGATAGCTTTCACTGGAAAGAAGTCGATGCCGGTAGAGAATTACGAAGAAGCCAAACCGACTGCTGCTGTTAAAGCTAAGGATAAGAAAGAAGATGAGGTGGAAATCAATTTGTCGAGAAATTTCAATGATTAGGTGATCGGCTGAAAGTATTTTTTATGAATTTTAATCTTTATTATTTCTATGTTTTACCATGAAATGTTTTCGTTTCACCTTATCCGTTTGGTGGCATACTAGATTTAACGTCTTACCAAAAGATTTCAATTCCAACTAGTGAAAGACATCAGTATATTTCTGTGCTGCTTTGAATCAAACTACGTGTGATACTAACAATGATCTATAAAACGTATTATGTGAACAACTTTTGAGTGTTATGACAATATTTATGATTCAAGTCCCTGTAGCTAAGCTGTATTGTCTGGTCCAAAAATCTGTGTTGCTCAGGTATATTTAAATATTTAAACTTTTATTTTTTAACATGTTTGCTTATTCATTGTGTTACAGTGGTCATTTCGATTATTGAAAAATATGATTATACTATCAAACCAATTTATAATCAGGAGTTATTTTGAAATCGAAAGAAATTTGATGTTACAGATATGTTCAATTTTTATTAACTTTAGTCGAACACTGTTACATGCACTGTAATTTGAACTGAGATCATGTTATTACTAAAACTAACAAGTGTATCTCCAGTTGAGGTTGAAATGTCTCATCTCCTCCCCGAGCTTCTGACCCTTCTCCTCACGCTATTAACCCTGGCTCACGCAGATGGGGATGTAGTCGTGTGTGGTGGGTTTATCAAATCCACTACTAAAATACCCTTCGCTGAGGTTAAAGTGGGGGTTTTTAGCGTTGATGGTATTCTGAAAGAGTCTACCGAGTGTGCACCACACAACGGGTACTTCCTTCTGCCACTCTATTCAAAAGGACAAGTTTCAGTGAGGGTATTGCCCCCGGCAGGTTGGACATTTTCACCTGATCAGATAATGTTGGACATTGACGGGACATCAGACCTGTGCTCGCGTGGCCAGGATCTGAACTTTATTTTTCAAGGATTCACGGTGTCAGGTAGCGTGGTAAGCAAAGGGCTAGACACAGGACCCTCGGGAGTAAGTGTCTCTTTTGCAGACAGTCAGGGTACTATCTTGCAGCACGTTCAAACTCTGGACGGTCTGTTCTCCATTTCCAACGTGAAAAGCGGTACTTACACTATCTCACTGTCACACCCAACCTGGAAAATGGAAATCCCAACATCATCCGTAACAGTGGGCCTACAGAATCTGGTTATAGAGGAGCCTTACGCAGTGATCTCATACGATGCCCGTGGAATAGTACACAGCTCAGGACAGCCTATTGCGGGAGTGGAGATCTATCTGACACCCCTTTCAACAAAAGGAGGGAGTCTGGTTGAAGGGTGTGAAGGAGTGGAGAGTGAGAGGGGGGTGTGCAAGGTTACTACCGATACTAATGGTCTCTATTACTTCCCTTCTCTTTCTCCAGGTAATGGAACTTCATTTATCGGGATCATTGCATAATCATTAATCATTAATCTTTTAATCAGCCGAAAATTATCACCCATTAACTCTCGACTCTTGATTTTGTGTTTAAATCTATACTATACTTTGACGAACTTGACGAAATCTCCCCGGCAACGGCATAAAAACACAAAACATCAACCAAAAAATGTCTCTGCGTTGAAAACAATTTGAGCTCGCAAGTAGATGTGAGGTGATCGTGACGTACCATAAAGCATCAAAACGTGCATTGATGCACCCGTTTTGTTTTTGGTTACGCACGATGCACTTGCATAATATGTCAATCTTCTCTCTCCGACGTTAATAACATAATATATTATCCTAATTCAATTATACAAAATATATAGGTTCAACAGGCCATTCAAATAGTTACCCGTCATTATTTGCTCTATTCATGATATAAACCGTTATTATTTGCTCTATTCATGATATAAACCGTTATTATTTGCTCTATTCATGATATAAACCGAATTACTCAGGCCAGTACAAGATAGTCCCTCACTACCAATCTGAACACAGTACTTTCGACGTGTCTCCAAACGAGCTCACATTTGAGGTTACCACTACAACGGTGGAGATGTCAGAGGCTTTCACTGTTAACGGCTTCGCGGTTATTGGTATGTTCTTTATTGTAGAGCTAGAATATGGTTATCGTGGTATTCTTTTGAAATGAGATACATATTTTTCAGCATCAAATCGGTGAATGATCAGTGATCACAATATTATGTGTTATTTATAATCAGTCTCTCTTAATTAAATGTATTGGTATGTCACAGGACGGGTACTGGATGCACTGGAGAACGGTAAAACTCTTCCTGGTGTGAATATATTCGTTAACGGTAAGTTAAATGTCTCTCAGTTCTTCACAATACATTAGACAATTATGCTTTCAAACGCATTTATGCTTTTGTGTTAAATTAAGAATGATTGTGATTAATCCAGACTCCAGAGGTAAAATCAGGTATTTCAGGGGACAAAGTAGCAGTGACTGACTCTGAGGGCCACTTCGAGTTGAGTAATGTTACCAGTGGAAAATATGAAGTTGTGGCCAAACTCAAGGGTTACTATTTCACTACTGAGACCTTGGAGATATCTCCCAACAACCCTGCTTTACCTGGTAATTCAGTAGTTTAACTTAATTTAATTGATTAGTTAATTTATTTAATCAGTTTAATTATTTGATTTAGTTGAATAACAAATTATTATTGATGTACAGGGTGGCCCAGAAGTAACTACCCACACGCAACCTTTCAATAACTCACGTAATCTCTATTGCCATCATAAAGTGAGAACGTTTTGAGTTAGGAACTCCAAAATTTCCAGACACATTTAATAATTGAAGTGCTTTCCTAAAATTTCAAGTTGGTTGTTTACAAATAAGTCGAGTTATGACCCTTTTAAGATCTTGCGAATACGTGATCTTGGCACTTAATCAGTGATTTCGTCACCCACACCCTCTGTAATTGATGAAATTTTACGAAATTTTCAGGAAATTTAAGTTCGACCCATTTCTATATTCTCTAAACTTTTTAAGCAATCCTGATACGAATTACGTTCAAGTTATTAAAGGGTTGTGTGTGGGTAGTTACTTCTGGGCCACCCTGGGGCCCATAATTTCATGGTGATTGTTCACAATTAAGCCGAGTTATGATCATTTTAAGATCTGGTGGAAACTTGATCCCGACACTTAATCAGTGATCTCCTCACCCAATCAACCGTCTGATTGGTTCGAGACTGCGTATGTAAAGTGAGGAAACTGATATAGTGACTAATTCCCTTAATATAATAGTGTCTTACATTTTCTGATAGAGTTAATAAACTAAGATGGACCATGGACTGTTCGGTCATGTGTTACGATAAATGTACCCCGCATTCTCATCCCTACAACTTACCTTGACTAATGATTTAAGAGTAGAAAAGGTCGACATCAAAGCAATTTATTTAACATGTTAATATCATACTTATATTCTAAAGATTTAAGCCTTAAAAAATGTCGATGATCTATTTAAACTTAAGGATTTCGTTTTCAAAAGGGAGAAGCACTTGCTGTTATTTACGGCAACTTATTGGTTTAACATGCGGGTTTCCTTTAAGATTATTAAGATTCCTTGATGTTAGAGCAGAAATAGTTTTATATATATTATAGTTTTAAACTATTTTCACAACTACAATTAAATACATTTATTAAGGATGTAACAAAAGGTATATGTATAATGTTGATTTAGAGGGTTCCTAATCCCCCTCCATTCTCAACCGGAGTTTCACTTTCACAATATATAAAAATAGTAAAGTTAATGGACTTTGAAATCCCAAGGTTATAAACGAACTACTTTGAGCCGAGTAACCGGAGTAACCAAGTAACCGGAGTAACCAAACTGTAATGACACAAACTGAAAGTAGAGATTAAATCAATATAGCCAGGAGAGTAATTTGGTGCTAGTAATATTAAGAAATTAAAGTTTGATAATAATAATATTAAGAACCCTCCCGCAGATATCCAAGCTAATGCGTACCAGCTGTGTGGGGTGGTTGACATGACAACCCCTCCTGCCACAGCACTCCCACTAGGACAGCGCAAAGTAGGTCTCCGGGCTGAGGAGGACTCCAATACTGCCCTGGTAACTACTAGTACTGATATCAGCGGGGCCTTCTGCTTCAAAGTGTCACCAGGTCTGTTGCTTTAAACACTTTACCTTCTCATTTTGATGGTTAGTCAAAACCTTCCTGTTGGACTGGTTTAGTCCTCCCTAATTGCACAATTAATTAAGATCACTTTGTTTTGCGCGTGTGTCCGGTTATTGAACCCAAGTTAGGTAACGAACACGTCACCACTAAACGTTATGACGTCACCACTAAACGTTATGACTCATGACACTATATATACAATATACACCGTACTGTTTCAGCAAGGGTTTAAATCAAAATATTTCAAGTTTCTGTATTATATTTTCGTTTTAACTAGATGAGCTTTATATTGTTTATATTGGGTGACCTGAATGAAACCTGAGGGAAATCCTTAGAACAGGGTAAATTGTGTTTTTTCGCAATATTGTTTGCTCAAATGTTGAGGGAGATATTTCTGTGGGCAGGATTTACATTAGGGCACAGTGGGCCCCTTTTGGCACCCCTCCCTAAAATTGAACAAATTAGATGATTTTAGCTAGGATACGCCCGTGGGGGGGGGGCCAATGGCATAAATGGAGAAAATGGAGAATTACTCATGGGTTTTTCCATTTTCTCCATAGAAAAAGTCTCCATTTTATGCCATTTTATGCCATTTTATGCCATTGAAAACCTGAAAAATTTAGAATTTCGAGAAAAATTATTTAAAAAAAAGATATTTTCGGCCAATAATGAACAGAGTATCATGAAACATGGAGAAAAGTGGTTTTCAGAAAAACTTTGAAAAATTTTGACTTAGAAAATTTTCGGTCCGAGTCATTTTCGATACGTACATCCCGTATCGAGAGCTCACGATTCCGAGCTCGTGTTGCGAAGGGGAGGCCTGCCTTCCGAGATCGCATTACCTCGAGTCCAAAATTGTGTATCGAGGGGGAAAATATTTTCGGCAAATAATGATCAGGGTAGCATGAAACGTGGAGAAAAGCGGTTTTCAGAAAAAATTTGAAAAATTTTGACCGAAAAAATATTTTTGGCTTATAATGAACAAGGTAGCATGAAACGTGGAGAAAAGTGTTTTTCAGAAAAACTTTGAAAAATTTTGACTAAGAAAATTACCCCTCGGTACACAATTTTGGACTCGAGGCTTCCCCCTGGTAATGCGATCTCGGAAGGCAGGCCTCCCCTTTGCAACACGAGCTCGGAATCGGGAGCTCTCGATACGAGAGGTACGTATCGAGAATGACTCGGGCCGAAAATTTTCTAAGTCAAAATGTTTCAAAGTTTTTCTAAAAACCACTTTTCTCCACGTTTTATGCTACCCTCTTCATTATTAGCCGAAAATATTTTTTTGGTTTTTCGGTTTATCGAAGTCTGCACGTACCCCTCGATAGTCGATACACAAATTTGGACTCGAGGCTTCCCCCTGGTAATGCGATCTCGGAAGGCAGGACTCCCCTTTGCAACACGAGCTCGGAATCGGGAGCTCTCGATACGAGAGGTACGTATCGAGAATGACTCGGGCCGAAAATTTTCTAAGTCAAAATGTTTCAAAGTTTTTCTAAAAACCACTTTTCTCCACGTTTTATGCTACCCTCTTCATTATTAGCCGAAAATATTTTTTTGGTTTTTCGGTTTATCGAAGTCTGCACGTACCCCTCGATAGTCGATACACAAATTTGGACTCGAGGCTTCCCCCTGGTAATACGATCTCGGAAGGCAGGCCTCCCCTTTGCAGTGCGAGCTTGTTTCGACTTTCGAGGATGTAGGTCTCACTTCTCAGTGCCTATTACTCTCCCCTATTACTCACTCCTGCTGTAGCCTGTAGAAATAACTTTACACTAGGCTTGAGTAATTATGAGTTTGCCTGAAGTGTGCCTCTACTAACCTAGTATAAGCATCTAGTAGCCTATTATGAGCTTTCATAAGCTTGTTACGCCCCTAGTAAGCGTAAATAAACATGTTAGGATGTCCAATTTAGGTGTTAAATGGTGTTAAAGATGAAATTTCGAAGACAAAATTCATGGCATAAAATGGAGAAAATGGAGAATTACTCATGGGTTTTTCCATTTTCTCCATAGAAAAAGTCTCCATTTTATGCCATTTTATGCCATTTTATGCCATTGGCCCCCCCCCCCCCCCCCCCACGCCCGTAAAATCTCTAAAAAGTGTGTTTCTAGAGCAAAACGCGCATTTTTGCTAACTGTAGTTAAGTTTTTCCAAATTGTTCCACATTCGAACGACGATTCGTTCGATCTTATCTGTAAGCCCTGAAATGTTGAGCAATTCTTACCAAAATCAACTGAGTCATTTAACGGTAACGTGTAGGTTGTTCCCCTTCAAAAACCCACACCCTAGATTAAACCATATTCTTCTGCGACCTTTTCGACCGGAGAATTATCAAAATAAGCTCCAACTTAGTAATTAGTTGTTAGAATAAAAAACACTTGGATTTTGGAAGATGAGATTATCACAAACTTGTCAATTTCAGGGAAATATATTCTCCAGAGTCTGATCGGTACACAAGAGCACCGTGACGGACTCCGTCTGACCCCACTGAATGTGGAGGTAGAAGTAACCAGCACACCAGTAGATGGTGTCCACTTCTCCCAATCCCTCGCCACTCTGCATGGCACTGTCAAGTGTATTGGGGAGGATTGTGGTTCTGTGAGTGTACATGTGTCCTCTAATACAGGTACCTACACTGCTGAGGTACAAGGTGGCATATGGAGGCTCAGTGGTCTACTACCCGGAGAGTATAAGGTATGTGCGGTATGTAAGGTATGTAAGGTATATGCGGTGTGTGGTATGTGTGGTATGTGTGGTATGTGTGGTATGTGTGGTATGTAAGGTATGTAAGGTATGTAAGGTATGTAAGGTATGTAAGGTATGTGCACTTACTTCTCGTATTATTACAGGTGCAGTGTATGGAAATCTCGCGTCCGCCTAACTAGCGCAATTCTTGTTTAATATTTACATGCTTATTATATTATATTATGATATAGTATGATATATTATATTATATGATATATTATATTATGATATATTATGATATATTATATGTATATATATTATATAATTGTCTCAGCATGAACTTTGTCTCAGAAAAGCTTTATGAATGACTGATTTTGACCTATATTTAGTGTTAGTTCTTTAATTTTAAGCTTCACTCTCTGATTTTAGTATGATAGCAGTCCTAATATAACTTTTATCATGATAGTTTCTAGGATGACTAGATTAAACACTGCTGAGTATAAGTTTATCTTAAACTTGAATTTATTATTATTATTATATGGAAACAAGTTGTAGTTTCTAATAGCTAGGTAGGGGGGGGGGTCCAAGGGGAACTTTGGGGAACTTTGGGAAAGTCCCCCAAGATTTCTGAAGTTCCCCAAAAAAAAGTTCCCCAAAACTCCCCAAAGTTCCCCAAAATTCCCCAAAATTATTCAAAATTATTCAAAATTTCTCTAATATACATTAATACCCATTAATGTTAACATGTATGTTATTATAAGGTATAATCTTAACTTACTTGTTGATACTTGCAGCATGATAATTTTTTTGGCATAATAATTTTTTTGGGGAATTTTGGGGAACTTTCTGAAGTTCCCCAAAAAAAAGTTCCCCAAAATTCCCCAAAATTATTTGTTTCATTGATAATTTTTTGGGGAACTTTGGGAAAGTCCCCCAGGTTTCCTGAAGTTCCCCAAAAAAAAGTTCCCCAAAACTCCCCAAAGTTCCCCTTGGACCCCCCCCCCCCCCCCCCCTAGGTAAAGTAAGGTTTTAGACCTTAAGACTTTAAGACATGTAACATGTTTTAAGGTGTACTTGAACCTAAATTTATATTTATCTATAGTGTATACTTATACTCCCATTTAGTGAAAACAATGTTAGTTGCTGTTTATACAGGTGACGATAGAGTACCCTGCCTGGTGTTGGAAGGAGACAGAGCAGACAGTAACTGTGGAGGATGTGTTGGAGACACCCTCCTTCGAGCAGTCTGGTGCGTAACTTCATACACTATATATATTTTATATTATATGTGTAATGTGGGCCCATACTTGTGCAGGAGGTGCTTTTTGCTCTCAACATCTGTGTTTTGGTGACCCTCAGGTCCTTTGATTACATACATTTTGTCCTAGAAAATCTGATTTTATCGGAGTCTTATACTTTTGAGAATAATTAATGTTGTTCATTCATTGTGTAAATTTGTATGTAATTGATTGATTTGAAAGATTTCAATAAAAAAAATTGGAGAAATCCAGCTTCAAGAGTGCTCTACCCGGGAGGGGAGTGTTGTACAAATAAAACGGCGATTCTACAAATTTAAAGTTTCATGCAAACGCATGAATAACTTCCTATTACAAAATCCATATTTCCTATTTACTTTCTATTACTTCCTATTATTAAATACATATTATTTTATATTATATATAATATGTTATAAATAAGGCCAAAAATCGCGGCGACGCGACAAGCCAAAGCTAAAGTAGGTAAAATCGCGGCAAATTCGCGGCGAAAGATAATATTTTTGCAGAGCTAAGTTAGATTTCATATACCGGTATTTGTAAACTATTCATTTGATCGGCTCATGTCCCATGATAATGTTATATCAAATTTTGCCGACAATCAACAATTCTATAATATCTACACTTCCCATTATCTGTGTAGAACGTCGCTTTCCTAAATTCAGCCACTCTAACGGAAGCAGTCACATTGCTGATTGCCCTATTTTGAAACGGCCTACCGTTTACTAAGTTACTAATTACTATACGTAGGTTTGATATAATATCAATGAACTTTGTTTTTCTTCATTTACTTTTTAGGAATAAGTATTGTGACTAGTTTTAACCGTTACATCCACCAGGTTATATTATGAAACTGGAAGTGTCGCACGCGGCTCAACTAAACTTCTCTGTAGTGCAGGATAACGAGCATACTGACTTTGGAACATTTAGCTTGGAGAAGGGAACCAACAGGTATATTTACTTCTTTACTTGTACTAATGCATATAATTACATATTATGACGTGTACCTGACCTTTATAATGTTTTAAAGGTCGCTCTATATATTGATTGATGGAGCCCCGTTGACAGAAATTACTCTGAACATAACTAGTCGAAAACACGTTCATTTTTCCTTTTAAGATTTCTAAAATTTATTAAAAATTTAACCATTTCTAAGCTACATGGACTGATTCCTGTCCACTTTTTGGAATTCTTCCACCAGGTGATTAGGTACCTTGCCAACTGTGTGAAAGCTCACCTTGAACCGAGCTAACGAGCTCACCTTGAATCGAGCTATCAAGCTCACCTTGAACCGAGCTAACCAGCTCACCTTGAACCGAGCTATCAAGCTCACCTTGAACCGAGCTAACCAGCTCACCTTGAACCGAGCTAACCAGCTCACCTTGAACCGAGCTAACAAGCCCACCTTGAACCGAGCTAACCAGCTCACCTTGAACCGAGCTAACCAGCTCACCTTGAACCGAGCTAACAAGCCCACCTTGAACCGAGCTAACCAGCTCACCTTGAACCGAGCTAACAAGCTCACCTTGAACCGAGCTAACCAGCTCACCTTGAACCGAGCTATCAAGCTCACCTTGAACCGAGCTAACCAGCTCACCTTGAACCGAGCTAACAAGCTCACCTTGAACCGAGCTAACGAGCTCACCTTGAATCGAGCTAACCAGCTCACCTTGAACCGAGCTAACCAGCTCACCTTGAACCGAGCTAACAAGCTCACCTTGAACCGAGCTAACCAGCTCACCTTGAACCGAGCTATCAAGCTCACCTTGAACCGAGCTAACCAGCTCACCTTGAACCGAGCTATCAAGCTCACCTTGAACCGAGCTAACCAGCTCACCTTGAACCGAGCTATCAAGCTCACCTTGAACCGAGCTAACCAGCTCACCTTGAACCGAGCTAACCAGCTCACCTTGAACCGAGCTAACAAGCTCACCTTGAACCGAGCTAACCAGCTCACCTTGAACCGAGCTATCAAGCTCACCTTGAACCGAGCTAACAAGCTCACCTTGAACCGAGCTAATGAGCTCACCTTGAACCGAGCTAACCAGCTCACCTTGAACCGAGCTAAGTCTTGTTATTGTAAGTGGTCACGTCCTAACCACCGTAAGAGTTCAAGTTAATAGATCCCACTACCGGAGAGTCACCTTTTTCTTAACGTGAACGTCTTTGTGAGAAGTGATGCTAAAGAGCGCCTTCCCTCGCCAAACACTTTGAAATTGACTTGGAACAACTGTTCGAGACATGTAGAATAAACAATTTTACATACACCTTCAGGGAGACCTTAATACTGATTCTGAAGTTGTCGTAAGATGTTGATTACATAAGCCGTACTAACTACAGACGAAGTCGAAAAAAAACCGACAAAACTGTCGGAAAAAATGATCCAAGTTGTGCGGAAAAAATCATATTTTTCGAAAAAGGGGAATTTAAATCAGGGTTTTACTCCATTGGCGATTTTTTTCGTCTTTTGTGGTCTTTTGGCCACAGAATCCACATTTAAACAGATATTTAACTGTGTGCGCTCGGAGTCCGGGACCGGGACCCCCTCAAAAGTTAGGTCACGGGCCCTAGGAAGCCTGTACAACCTATGCAACCAGTGCAGCTGTCAATATGATTTTATTCAGGTTCTGTTTGAAGAAGCCTGGTGTCTATAACCTAGTGCCGTATGCGTGTCACAAGTTTGAATCATCCTCCTATCAGTTCAACACAGCTGAGTCCAACGAGCTAATCCTTACTGCTACTCAACATCTTGTTACTGGTATGGTCACTCAATCACATCTTACACTTCGTTAATGTTATTAACGTTTTATTAATGTTACTACACTATCAAGCCTCTTCATACTTCATAGTGATCATTTCACTATTCCAAGCAATTAGCAAATATCACGGTAATTATTGGTTGTACTATTCTTCTCACAGTCCTATTTTATTATGATAAAATGTGGCCTCATTTTACCCTGTATTATATGATATATACATATATTATGTATAATGTACATAATTATAATACTTGTAACTCAGGTACAATGAAGTTGAAGCACACAGCGGGACAGGTTCAGGTAATCCTGACTAACATAGACACACATGATAAAATAACATTAGAGGCAGTAGCTTCTGGGGAGCCAGATGATGAGGGAGACACTCTCTTTACTTACCAGACTTGGAGCCCACCTAATCAGGTTACATAATCACGCAATTATAAGACCCAAATAGTTTGTCTAGATCATAGTTTTAGTTATAACTAAAATTGTCGTAAACCAAATAATATTGTTGATTTAAATAATTTCGTTTTTTATCTTAGTGGCATAATTTTAACGTTTATTAAACGAGCATTTTCAGAAGTTCTGAAAATTAACCACGTGACTCATACTTCCATAATATGGACTGCTCAAAATATTAAATCCATTGTTGTTGGTATGGGCACCGAAATGTTAACAAGAATTGTGTCCGTTTCCTTGACGCGGGGGCGGATGCTAGATTTGTATCCACTGCATGCTTTAATGAGTTATTACTTCATGATAGCATGATACAGTATAACCCAGTAACCTTATTAGATCTCACGTGATCATTGAAAATACGGTTTATAATGTAAATGGGTCCCTGATCGAGCGAGAGTGTAAGGCTCGCAACTTCCCCTAATTACCCCTAATTACCCCTTACTTGGTCTGGTTACTTCGTCTGGAGTGCTTGTGAAACAGTACTGTGAGGAGATAAACCATTCTACCCTGATCTCCAAAATCCCTCTTTTTCACTATTTTACATTCGTAACCATACTTTACTTATTTAGCACCCCCTGGAAGCGATCTGGTAATCACGACCAGGTATTATAGGAAACGCTTAAATTTGTGATTACCTTACTCGGGAATATTATGACTGGGATAAAGTGGTGGGTTATGGAAAATTCCGCCATATTTTCCCCGGTCATTAATTTTCCCAGTCATAAATTAACCCGCTATAATATTCCCGAGTAAAGTAGCTAATTAGCCAATTATCTAATGAGATATGTAATGGATATGTAATTGCAGCATTACCTGGTGAAGCCCACTTCCGAGAACCTGCTCTTCACACCCGTCTCTCAAACTACTGTAGTTTGGGATATCACGTGTCCTACCGTTATCCCCGGCTTCAGTGGCCAACCCGGTACATTCGTCTCAGGTACATTTATTAGTTAATTAATTAATTAATGATATGAATTCTGTTGGTCATAACATGATAGTTTAGTATCAGCCTGTTAGAGGGCTGTTTGTTATTTGTCCCCAAAATGGCGGTTAATAGCCAATCAGCATTGTAACTACATACCGAGTTTCTTAATGTTATTTTATATTCCAGAATTCCTTATGTCGGGAAATATTCGTTTCGGAAGAGGGTGTCTTATCATTACAACTAAATTTAAACCACCAGGAAAAGTGACTCCAGCAGTGCGAGGGGTTTTAATTACACTGACCTCCCCGGACAGTGCGGATCTCAAGTTAACTCAGATAACAGATGATAACGGAGTATACAGTATCGGTCCTCTTCACAATAACCTACATTACCAGGTCTACCAGGATAACATGTTATCTTAGTTCAAACCCAAGATAGCATCATTATTATAATTCGGAAGTTTCTGTACGTACAATGTACGTACGACCGCCCACGTTTGATTAGGTAAAAATCAAAAGGTTGCATAGTTATGCGTGGTAGTAAGTCATACCAGAAAGAATCATTTCAATTGGGCACTCAGTGACTGAGCTATTAAGGCCAACGTATGGGTACTGACTTTTGCCCCCCCCCCCCCCCCCCCCTGTACTTTGCTTTAAGACTTCTCAGTTCTCAAACAGCCCCCTCCTCAAGCTACCCCTAAACATTATCTGTTTTGAAGGTGTCTGCAGAGAAACAGTTCTCAAACAGCCCCCTCCTCAAGCTACCCCTAAACATTATCTGTTTTGAAGGTGTCTGCAGAGAAACAGTTCTCAAACTCTCAAACAGCCCCCTCCTCAAGCTACCCCTAAACATTATCTGTTTTGAAGGTGTCTGCAGAGAAACAGTTCTCAAACAGCCCCCTCCTCAAGCTACCCCTAAACATTATCTGTTTTGAAGGTGTCTGCAGAGAAACAGTTCTCAAACAGCCCTCTCCTCAAGCTACCCCTAAACATTATCTGTTTTGAAGGTGTCTGCAGAGAAACAGGACTACGACATTATCAAGAGCGAGGAAGGAGGACATGACTTTGTTGCTATAAAACTTAGCAAACTTACTGTATCTATTAACATAGGTCAGATATCTTTTATTTTTCATTAATTTCAGTGTACCTCAAAACGCGGAATTTTGTTTTACAAGGAAATTTCTGCTACATTATTTCTGAATATTACTATATAAATAAGAATTGTTGCAATTGTTTTTCAAATGTATGGTGCTAACAAATATAAAATTAACGAGTACACGCACAGGTGAGGGAGTGCTGCCAGGGGTGCTAGTGTCAGTGTCCAGTACTAAGGGCTACCGTAACAATGTTCTGCTGGAGGATGCACCTCTTGTTCTCTCTGGACTCGTTCCTGGCGACTACTATATAAGGTATTAATATTCTAATTACAATATACCTGACTACTATATAAGGTATTAATATTCTAATTACAATATCAATCAAAAGAAGTTATGCACGAAATGAGATGTTTAACTGTATTTCATAGTAGATGGCTGAAACTATTTGTGAGGCCTCTTCAAGGTCTGTAGAACCAAGACAAATTCTGAGCCCAAATATTCAGACTGTAGAAATAGCCTTTTTGGTCACGCCCATTTGTGTTATATTCCAAATAGTTACCTTAGCTTCTAAACATCGTAGAGATTTTTAGATAGGCTCAAATCAACCGCAATGGCCACATTTATCTACAACTTATAAAGCAATATATGCCAAAAAAGACTAATTTTGGAGTTATTAATTTAAAAATTGAATTAATTATTATATACACAAATCAAGCGTTACATTTCAGCCATACAAAATTACAATGACATTATTTTGATATATTATTACTAATGGAAAAATGGTAAAAGCGCCTAGAATGCGCTTATAAGCTGATCATAATCGTTCTCAGCGATTCCAACGCGACTTTCAAGTAGGATTGGCGATTATAAGTGGTGGAAAAGCGGTCGGCCAGATAAGCGATTCGTAGTCTTTTTATCGAACCATTTATAAGCGATTTTAAGCGCTTATAAGTTGGTTACAATTTAGCAGTTTGTAAATCACTAAAAAAGCGCTAAAAATCCATTTTTCAATTTTTGGCATTTTAACGACTCACAAACTTAGATTAAGGAAATTTAAGTTTGACTTATATCTATATTTTCTGAAATTTGTGTGCAATTCTGACAGGAATTACGTGAGTTATTCAAGGGTTGCGTGTGGACTGTGGGTAGTTACTTCTGGGCCACCCTGTATCGCTAAAAAACGATTATAAGCGGTGTTTTTTTTTAAGCGCTTAATAAGCAGATAAGCGATTATCAGTGCAGATCAGAAAATTTCATTTGTGGAAACCTGCCGAAAAATTCTCGTGATACTCAACACTACCAGGCTGCAGCTGGAGTGAGAAACATAATGTAAAACATCTGTACAATTTATTTTGGCTGAACCAAAAGACTGCGGTTAGACCATAATTACATTGGTGCTGACCCTACCTAAAATACAGAATTTAAATCTTTAATAACTGATCAAGAGACGAAATTACAATTTATACGATACCTTCTCTACTGGTGATGTACTACTGGTAATGTACTACTGGTGATGTACTACTGGTGATGTACTACTGGTGATGTACTACTGGTAATGTACTACTGGTGATGTACTACTGGTAATGTACTACTGGTGATGTACTACTGGTGATGTACTACTGGTAATGTATTACTGGTGATGTACTACTGGTGATGTACTACTGGTAATGTACTACTGGTAATGTACTACTGGTAATGTACTACTGGTAATGTACTACTGGTGATGTACTACTGGTGATGTACTACTGGTGATGTACTACTGGTGATGTACTACTGGTGATGTACTACTGGTGATGTACTACTGGTAATGTACTACTGGTGATGTACTACTGGTGATGTACTACTGGTGATGTACTACTGGTGATGTACTACTGGTGATGTACTACTGGTGATGTACTACTGGTAATGTACTACTGGTGATGTACTACTGGTGATGTACTACTGGTGATGTACTACTGGTGATGTACTACTGGTGATGTACTACTGGTGATGTACTACTGGTGATGTACTACTGGTGATGTACTACTGGTGATGTACTACTGGTAATGTATTACTGGTGATGTACTACTGCACTGGTAATGTACTACTGGTGATGTACTACTGGTAATGTACTACTGGTAATGTACTACTGGTGATGTACTACTGGTGATGTACTACTGGTGATGTACTACTGGTGATGTACTACTGGTGATGTACTACTGGTAATGTACTACTGGTAATGTAGTATGTACTACTATACTGGTAATGTACTACTGGTGATGTACTACTGGTGATGTACTACTGGTAATGTACTACTGGTAATGTACTACTGGTAATGTACTACTGGTGATGTACTACTGGTGATGTACTACTGACTTTAGCGATGAACATAAATTTAAACTTCTTCAGACCTATAATGAAAGAATACCAGTTCACGCCAAGCTCCAAGATGTTGACTATAACTGAGGGTCTGGAAGTAGATGTGAAACTTGTAGCCCGCCGTGTCGCCTTCAGGTAAACTAACATTGTATCCCACATCCAGAAACATAGCAGATTGGCAGATAATGTGCGAGGAAATTTTCTGGGTGAAGAGGAAATTTTCTTTTTTTTAAATTCCTTGTCGTATTCCTTGTATTCCTTGTATTCCTTGTATATAGTAAGATTTTTTAAAGTTTGATGAATTCAACATAACTGAATTAGGATTAGTAGGGTAAGATATAACTGACTACTATACCACAAACCAATACCCGTATACCCCCAGCTGTTATGGTAAGATATAACTGACTACTATACCACAAACCAATACCCGTATACCCCCAGCTGTTATGGTAAGATATAACTGACTACTATACCACAAACCAATACCCGTATACCCCCAGCTGTTATGGTAAGATAACGACCCTGAACGGGACCCCCCAATCCGGAGTGGTTATTGAAGCAGCTGGTGCTGGTGACTGTGCTCTTATTGAAGAAGGAGTGTCTGGTTTGTTATTTCGTTAAATAACTCATTTCAATACTTTCAACCAATATTCCAATCAAATGTCGGATAACCCTATAAACACGTTTCCTTTACAAGGTAGACCAAGGTATTCAACCAAATCTACAACTTAACTTATCGCCAGAGGATATTCTAAGCATCCAATTTTGTAATAGCTTAGTTAGAAGCCAAAGATCATTTGCCCATATTTGAGCACATCCATCAAATTGAAAATGTAATTGCGAAAATCGCGAACGGAGATATGGACTTTTGTTTATTTTAGGTGGTTTATGGTCTTAGTTTCCACATTTTAATAGATAATTATCTATAGATCACAGAGGATAATAATATTTTGTTCAGACTTACCTTTGAATTAAAGTGTCACGTCTAGAGTCCGGACCCCACCTGAAGATTATTTACTATTTACCCTTACTTTAGGAGTAGAAGGAGAGTATCGTATCAGAGGACTTCCGCCCAACTGTCCTATAACAATATCAGTGAGAAGTGATAAATCTACTGATGTTAGACGTGCCTCTCCTAAAACTCGTCTTATACAGGTACGTAATATATTTTTAACTAATTACAACACTACAAATCTATTACATTTATTGAGAATTATGTAATGTGATGGAAGTATTTTAAGCGGGCATATCCTGTCCAAACCCAGGATACATGAAATAAAGAATTTGGTTTAACTTGTTTGTATGAAAAGCATCAATATACTACTACTTACATTGATACAACCTATTGGTGAAAAAGGACGAAACTGTTAGCACCATTTGTGATCAATCTTAACTATTTGATCCAATTTATTTTGATCGTCTAGCCTTGTATTGAAATCTAAACAGTCATGCACTATTAATAATGTTTATAATAAGGTCGACTCTGAACATCATTCGATAGAGTCAGCACTGCCGACTCAGCAGGTACCTTCATTTCCTCACTCGTTTGGAAAGTGTAAGTCTTTGCGAGTGATGCTCCCATGTTGTCACGGTGCATAATAATCTACCAGTGAAGCGGTATTAACACTTAATTCCTTATTCAGGTTGGAGAATCAGATACTGAAAATGTTAACTACATAATATTCCACCAACCCACAACATTTGATATCACCGGTTACATCGACATTGCCGATGAGTACATCTTGACCACTAAGGTTTGTGTTTCAAGGTCTGGTTTCGAATTTACCAGCTTTTATTTGAATTGTGTTCCTTTTAATTTAAATCATGAATTATAGTACGTTCAGGGCCCGAGGCTTTAAAAGTGTAATTACAAGTTTCCGTGTGGGAACTTGTTAGTCACATTTTAAAAGTTAGTTTATGGAGAGCGTGTTTCACTTTTTCCTTAACAATCAAACTTTTCAGTCCTTGATTGTGCGCGTTAATGCGCGCGATTTTACCGCTCGAGCGTAGTGCAAATTAACTGGTTTGTACACTTAGCACCGTACGACAATTTAAGAAACTCTGAAAGACCTTAATCTAAATCTATTCCCGTAGGTTGTACTGATTGACGAATCACGTGAACAAGGCAGGAAGGTTCATAGCTCACCATTGGATCAAAGTAGGCTGTTCATCTTCCCGGAAATGGACCTCTCACATTCCTTCACCGTGAAACTGGAGTCTTCCTTATCACCTTCCATGTATAATGTACGACATCATAGTTTACTAAACTTATTTAGTATTGCATGGTAGAGGCGGCTCGTTGGGGCACACGCAATTAATTTATTTATAATTTTAAAACCACGCATTTGCATCTGCACGCCGGTAAATGGGGCTAATTAACTCTGCAAGCTATGTAAAAAGGGTCAAGGGTAAACCCTTCTCTAATAAGATAGAGCAACATATTTAGTAAATACGAATAATTGACTTGTTTAAAATGGAATCTAGGGTTTTACAGATCTCAGAAAACGAGGTGAACTAAATCAACATTGATAGGGATGCCATGTTAGGTCTCTAATAAAGCCACCATGGACTGTGTTGATTCTTTTAAAGCTTACTATTTACCATGACTATGTTTTCAGTTCAAGATACCTGATGTTAAACTGAAGTCTGAAGGACCTTACCAACATACTGACATAGCTTTTAACCCCATTAGAAAAAGTGTGCCTCAGGAACAAGGTTTGGCCATTTTTATTGTTGCTACTAAGTCCGATCTACACCACATATCCTTCTCCACATATCCCTGTACACCGTGGGAGAATTTCCAAGATCTAGCAGAGTACGGCATCCCCGTCATGTACGAGAAGACAATGGCCCAAGTCCTATCTCCAGACGGAAAAACGGAATTGTTCAAGATACTAGCTGGTGTGCTACAGGGTGGTACCTTATCACCTTACCTTGTTGTAATAGTAATTGATTACTGTATGAGGCATGCTATAGATGAAGATGAGAAGCGACTTGGACTTACTCTCTGAACGTAGAAAAAGCAGAAGAGTGGTGCCCAAGATCATCACCGATGTGGACTTTTCGGACGACATAGACAAGACATGGACAAGGTTAACGAGTTCCTGATTCGAGTAAAATCGGCAGCAGCGAGTGTAGGGCTACACATAAACGAAGGCAAGGATAGGACACTGAATATGGAGCATCGATCTGGCGTTCCGAATTCGATCGGAAGAAACCATAGAAAATGTGGATGATCTCGGTGCTTAGGCTCCTGAATTGAGCGCACATAAATTGGGAGATCGGGGTCAGATAGGGAAAAGCATGGCCCGTGCCCTACTACCTACATAGACTGAATAACATCTGCAAATCCAAACTTTCAAAGAACCTTAAGATTTGATTGTTCATTGCGGCTTGCGAATTGGTACTGCTCTACAGATCGAAAACTTGAACAATAACAAAGGCTCAAGAGAAATGTTTGGTGCTGGATATCTCATGGAAGGACAGCAATGTTACTTTGTATGGGAACCTACCTAGGCTGTCAAACAAGTTACGAAGCAGGAGATTTAAAATAGTGGAACATTGCATCAGACATCCTGAGCTACTGGCCAGTGACAAACTCTAAAGAGGAACTGCGAACCCTGATGCGGGACAGGGATATATGGATAGAGCTTTCTGGAGTAGATCGAATTTAGTTCCGACCTAGTAGTAGGATTACTTGGGTTGACATAATTACTGGGGTTGACATGATAAATATGTGGGCCCATACTTGTGCAGGAGGTGCATTTTGCTCTCAACATCTGTGTTTTGGTGACCCTCAGGTCCTTTGATTACATACATTTTGTTCTAGAAAATCTGATTTTATCGCAGTCTACTTTTGAGAAGATTTAATGTTGTTCATTCATTGTGTAAATTTCTATGTAATTGATTGATTTGAAAGATTTCAATAAAAAATTACGTCCATCTCGCAGTGACACGAGCTAGTTTCACAGCAGTTGCTATTATCGTACTCTCCATGGTATTGGCTGCCAACCACGCTACTCTCGTTCCGGTATTTTCCCAGGTAATTATTTTCTTATTTCATTAGGTATGAAGAGTCCAGATTGATATGATGTGAAACTAGGGCATGCTTTTGACGGGTTTTTACTTTTACTTCTTATCGTTATAAATTTGGTCACCGGATGAGTTATTTGAGTTGGATTATCGTACAAGTTAACCCTGCTGCAGGTTTATCAAAGTGTGATGAACAGGAACAGTGGAGATATCCCTGAATCAACAGGGGAGACTAACGGTATGGAGTACATAGACGATGTCCACAGATCAGGTACACTATTTTATAACATGTCTATTTGAAGTTGAGGATATTGGTGAATAAGCGACAAACGAATCAATACAACATAAGTTTATATGAAAGTGGGACCACGAGCATCCACGTGCACATTATACAGTTCCATAGTATTACTTGCGCCGCGCAAGTTGCGCATGTGAAAACGCGCATGTGCTCCGTTATAGGTTCACTGTCGAAACTTTGATCGATTCTATTTTAATAACGTTGTGTAACCTTTTACGAGAGCTGTATCTTTGGTTGTGTTGGAATATTTTCATAGTTAAATATTGAGCTTCCTAGCAGTAGATTATTTTATATTTTATTAGACATTTGCATGAGTCTAGTTATACATTACTTCTAGTAGTAGATTATTTTATATTTTATTAGACATTTGCATGAGTCTAGTTATACATCACTTTATCATATTTTATTGATCTGCGGTGTAGTATTGCCAGATCCCGGTTCAATTTGTAACGGAGTTTTATATTAACAGGAAACTATGTAACAGAGTCGATATATCGACTCTGTTACATATATATATTTAACTGTTGCCATGGGGTGGCAAGTCCCCATTCATCGTAGTCCGATAGTGTCACTGCATCCCAATATAATATAAATATAATGATAGAAGAAAAATGAACTTGTTTTGATAATGACTGAGTAATAGCGACAACCACTTTTTCAGGTATACGCCGTGGAAAGTCTCGAAAGCGTTAAAGAACCAGAAACTCAGAAATATAGAAATATCAATGTTATTTTGAGAAAGGAAAAAAATGCAATTATGTATTTTTAATGATGCAATATAATTAAGATACTATAGCATATTAGACAATATCATTATATACTCATTTTATTTAAACTTTATTATATTTGCGCTTTTAAAGGTATGATAATCTTTCATATTATACAACAGCCAAACGTACGCATGGCTTATTTATGAGAACCATTGTTATATTATTTTTTGAAAATCGATATAGATGACAAGGACGCTTTTATAAACTTATTATAGTAAAATAAGATAATTATCATTTTGCCTTTTGGTTAAGGTAAGGTTTATTCAGCTGATTTTGATGTTTTGGTGTGTTGTTCTGTTTTTGTTGTTGTCTCTATTTTGTTTATTTACGGGTCGAATTTTATTTTATGGGTAATATCGTGAAACTTATGACATACATTACCCCCTCTATGCAGCATTCCCTCTGTATATTACCCCGTCTCCCTCCCCCTATAATCTATATACAGTACTATGAGAAGTATTTGAAGCTAAGATAGCATTATATCATCGAAATGGCAGAATGTTATATTCCGTTCCAATTGATGAGAATGAGGAAATGAAAATGTGCACCCCAAATAAGTGATAAGCGGGATGAAAAATGTCCAGGGAGAGCGCGTTATAGAGAATAAGGAATAGTGAATACTGTACTATGTTAACCCTATTTTAGCCATACTAGACCCCTCTCACCTCTGTTAGCTATTTCACAATTAAAAATGTGATATTTGAACGATCCCTTAGGTCTATAAAACTGAAATTGATACTGTTATTGAATAATTCTTAACTTCTCAATTCTAAAATTGAAATGAAACTTATTTTATTCGTGTATTAATTTGCTTTCCTACTGTACACTAACTCCTGTATCCGGGATTGAAAGTCAAACTATTTTTAGACATGGCCCTACCACAAGGAGTGTGGTCTCTGAAAGACGCGCTCGCTAGAAGAGACGCTCACGAGAAAAATCAGGTTTGTCAAATGTAGCTTTTGGATGCATGACGGAGGAGGGGGTGTTCAACCTGATTTTCAAGAAAGGCGTTCCCATGCCGTCGATTACGTATGCTCTCCTTTGCTGCTCAGAAGAGCGAAATAGCCTCACCGAAAATATGCGTCAACGTAATTCAAATCCGCGAAACTTACACTATGAACTTACTATCAATTCGGTGATAACCTGGCGAATTATTGCTAAATAAATGTCTTAAGGCTAACCCTGGCCCTGACTTCAAACCAACCTGAGAATTTGTTTATGATTTCTTTACCTATTCAATTGCATTGTACACAATATTTTATAACATGTCTATTTGAAGTTGAGGATATTGGTGAAAAAGTGACAAACGAATCAATACAACATAAGTTTATATGAAAGTGGGACCAAGAGGACCCACGTGCACATTATACAGTTCCATAGTATTACTTGAGCCGCGCATGTGCTCGGTTATAAGTTCACTGTCGACATTTTGATTGATTCTATTTTAATAATGTTGTTTAACATTTTACGAGAGCTGTATCTTTGGTTGTGTTGGAATATTTTCATAGTTAAATATTGAGCTTCCTAGTAGTAGATTATTTTATATTTTATTAGACATTTGCATGAGTCTAGTTATACATTACTTTATCATATTTTATTGATCTGCGGTGTAGTGCCAGATCCCAGTTCAGTTTGTAACGGAGTTGTATATTAACAGGAAACGATGTAACAGAGTCAATATATTTAATTGTTGTCATGGGGTGGCAAGTCCCCATTCATCGTAGTCCGATAGTGTCACTGCATCCCAATATATAAATATAATGACTGATTAATAGCGACAACCACTTTTTCAGGTATACGCCGTGGAAAGTCTCGAAAGCGTTAGAGAACCAGAAACTCAGAAATATAGAAATGTTATTCTGAGAAAGGAAAAGAATGCAATTATGTATTTTTAATGATGCAATATAATTAAGATACTATAGCATATTAGGCAATATCATTATTATTTTTATTTTATTTAAACTTTATTATATTTGCGCTTTCAAAGGTATAATAATCTTTCATATTATACAACAGCCAAAGGTATGCATGGCTTATTTATGAGAGCTTTATTGATAATTATTTTCTGAAAATCGATATAGATGACAAGGACGCTTTTATAAACTTATGAATATGATAAAATAAGATAATTATCACATTTTGCCTTTTGGTTAAGGTAAGGTTTATTCAGCTGATTTTGATGTTTTGGTGTGTTGTTCTGTTTTTGTTGTTGTCTCTATTTTGTTTATTTACGGGTCGAAGTTTTATTTTATGGGTAATATCGTGAAACTTATGACATACATTACCCCCTCTATGCAGCATTCCCTCTGTATATTACCCCGTCTCCCTCCCCCTATAATCTATATACAGTACTATGAGAAGTATTTGAAGCTAAGATAGCATTATATCATCGAAATGACAGAATGTTATATTTCGTTCCAATTGATGAGAATGAGGAAATGAAAATGTGCACCCCAAATAAGCGGGATGAAAAATGTTCAGGGAGAGCGCGTTATAGAGAATAAGGAATAGTGAATACTGTACTACGTTAACCCTATTTTGGCCATACTAGACCCCTCTCACCTCTGTTAGCTATTTCACAATTAAAAATGTGATATTTGAACGATCCCTTAGGTCTATAAAACTGAAATTGATACTGTTATTGAATAATTCTTAACTTCTCAATTCTAAAATTGAAATGAAACTTATTTTATTCGTGTATTAATTTGCTTTCCTACTGTACACTAACTCCTGTATCCGGGATTGAAAGTCAAACTATTTTTAGACATGGCCCTACCACAAGGAGTGTGGTCTCTGAAAGACGCGCTCGCTAGAAGAGACGCTCACGAGAAAAATCAGGTTTGTCAAATGTAGCTTTTGGATGCATGACGGAGGAGGGGGAGTTCAACCTGATTTTCAAGAAAGGCGTTCCTATGCCGTCGATTACGTATGCACTCCTTTGCTGCTCAGAAGAGCGAAATAGCCTCACCAAAAATATGCGTCAACGTTATTCAAATCCGCGAAACTTTCACTATGAACTTACTATCAATTCGGTGGTGGTCTATGCAGCCCCCCGGTCTACTCAGCCACATACTCGAGAAATCGGATGTGAGGGTTAAATGAGGAGCTGCACATTGCAGCAAAGTCTCGGGCGAAGAAAGTATGGTACACACTACCTTAACCGTCACTGGCCAAAATAAATCCTTCGGCTTCCTGTAATTGGCTGGTTGCACTTGTGTAACAATGTGGCTGTTGGAATACTCCGAAGTAAAATAAGTGTCTTGATAAAAATGGACTAATAATTTAATTTAATCCTGTAAAATCCTGTGTAATCCTGATCCCACGTAATGAATAAACTCTTCATACTTGAAATCTCTGTTATCTGAGAAGCTAGAGTTTCTATTTTTCTGGAAATTCGTGTATCAAAAGGCCAAACACAATGCATTACAATTTGACTCGATCCAATCATTATAAATATCCAAAAACCGATATTTATCAAATAACAAGTACTCCCTCCAGACAGACAGACAGCAGCGTAGTAAGAGGAAGAAAGTGATCGAGATAAGGGATGACGAGGTAGAAATGAAACCTCGTGAGGTTAAAAAGAGGAAACCCCCGGCTGAACATCGCCCTGCTGCACAGGCCTCTGTTTCCTTGACTAATAGTGTGAATTCTACCGTGGAGAATGCTGACGACACTTCTGTCGGTAAGGGGCCGGTAACAAAACGCTACTATTCAGTGGTCAATTTTTGTCTTCTTGGAAAATAATCATCTGTATTTGTGATTTTGAAAAATCAGGATACCAGTTGCATTGTACCGCATTATATCATGAGTCACCTTTATAAACATACGCATGCAGTAAGTATTACATGCTAAATCATTCTCGGAACATGCTACGTTTCCTCACTCACTTTTCACTGCCACTCTCTATAATAATGACTTATCAAATCAATAAAAACGTGATACCAATAGTTTGAGCGTGCGTGCAATTAGCTTTGCTCTCCCAAAGCTTCGTTTGAATAATATCTGGTTTGGTGACTACTTGTTGTAGTATGTGTAGAACGTTATCTCATCTTTTCTATATACTATCCAAGTGTTGCAATTACATAGGTTAGTCTTCGCCAGATCCACATAATTATTACCAGATCATTCCATTGATTGGCAAAGTAAATATGATCTAACATAAATTTGAAAATTAAGAAAAATCAAGAAATGAATTAACCGTGAAACTATGCCGCAGCTAAAGAAACAGAAAGACCTACAATTGTTAAAACGAGGAAGCCTCCTAAGAAAAAATGTCTTGAATCCACGATAGATAAGAGGTAAAATAATCCAGCTCATTTGTTTTCAATTCCTTTAGGAGAAGGTTTTAGGTTGCTGATTACTATGATTTAATAAGGAGGGGAGGGAGGGGATGATTTTGATTTCGAGATACTTAGTACTAATAGTAGTAGTTTACTAATAATTATAAGCTAGGGCTCTTAGACCCCAGGCGCCCACCGGTGTCTGCGGGGCAACCATACCCATGTTCCAAATAACTCAACTATTTTTCAAATTTTTTATATTGTAGGGAATAATCGGGTTTGGATATATGAGGTGGCCAAACGTTGTATCGGTGTTAATAAAATAACACGTGTTTTACAAGTAAATAGTGCGCGTCCTTACGAGAATTTTACTACACCGTTTTCAAATACTAATAGATCCAAGCCGACCGTGCAAGAGTACTTCCGTGCTATTCGGGAGCAGCAGGTAATCACTGATTACCATATCCAAAATCTTTGTCTTAATTAGTGCAAAAGTTGCTTAGTTGTCGGGGATATGTAATGATTGGTTCTTAGTTGTCGGAGTTGATTGGATTTCCCAAGCTAGCATGTAAATTAGTTAACTAGGTAAAATTGACAGCTTCTTAGTTGTCTGTCAGCCGATCCAACTTTACTTTAATTTAGGAATATTTCATTTTATTCATCTGAGAGTTATAGAATCTGAAATCAAATTGGGGCTCGATGGTGCTGTAGTTGGACCCCCCCCCCCCCCCCCCCCCCATGGCTGTACTCTAAAGAAGTGTCAAGTAAGCATCAGAAGTTTGCATTTTTAGTGAATAACAGAACTAAGACAGAATATCAGTTCATAAAGTTTGCACAATTATACGATGGGATATAATGTACGTATAAGTATAACAAACACCGCACAAAATACGAAGTGAAACTGAAACACAAACAGACGGCTAAATGCGCGCTGAGTTTTCAAGTTCTGCAGGCATAAAATAATACCCTGATCGCCATGTTTTACTCTGATGCAAGCTTACGTCAATACTTTCCAGTTATGGATTTAAATGGTAACTACAATTGTACCATTACAGTTTCATTGCAGGGAAACTGTAATGGCACTTATTCCGATATGTATTGAAACTTACGACCTATAAAACGGTTAACGTAAGTACTACGTATTATTTTATTATACGTATTCGTACTACGTATGAACTAAAATAATGCCTCACTGTCACCACAGCATCGAAGATTCGGTCCGACAGAAGACACTCCCCCGAGAAACACCAGTCAGGAAGTCACCGCGTATACGGGAAAAGGCGATAACACTCAGTGATAGTGACGATAGTGGCCCAGACCTTCTTCCAGTAACCATTGTGAGTCACTTTATTCAACTATTCCAGGCTGGCGCATGGTGGTCTAAAATCACCATTTTATGGCCAATTTTCTGTTTAATAACATTCTAAAAACAAACAGAGCATATTATTATTATCATGAAGACTAAAAAATTGTGATAAAATTCAGGAATATGGTTCTTCGCTATCGCACGAGTAAGTCGAGATGGCGCGGCGGTGTCAGAAAAATGAAGACATATATCTATACTGTATTTCAAACTTGACAAAATATCCCCGGCAACGGCATAAAATACAATGCACTTCTGGGTAATAGCCCAATTATTTACGACATCGGCTAAAATTTGGACATAATTGACTGTACCAGGTAGGGCAGTATAAACTTGTTTATAAGGATAATATAAACTTGTTTATAAGGGTTTAATATACACCAAATCATAAAAAGTATTAAGGTCAGCGTAAAGGGGGGTGAACACATATTTTTCAGTTTTCACATATCTGACAGAGCTACTGGAGAAGAACAAGTAGAAAAAAAACTGCATCCAAAGTCTGACATAGGGTAAAGCTCAACTTTTGGAAAACACTGGTCACTCCTTGAACCTAAAACTTAGCATGGGTGTTCCTGATGGACGAAAGGAGAATTAAGTCTCACTCACTGTAAAACAAAATACATCATGTATTGTCGACGTTTCGACTACATGCCTTTGTCATGAACGAAACGTTCAGATTTAATTAGCTCAATAGATGCAGTAGATTTTTTCCGATCCATGACTCAAAGTGCCGAAGGCACAAAAGAGTCAAGGACAAGGGTTAGCGAACGAGGTTTTTTTTGTATATGGTAGCTTGCGACCGTGCGTGCGAGCGTGCGTACAGTTATCGCCCACGTGTCTACCTGCGCAAAGTTATTTTGCGCGATAATCTGAACTGACCAAGTACATTATTAATTTCACCATGTACGTATCCCAATAATAATAGCATATTATTATTATTTTGAGTTAGTATTACTATTTTGCACAGATCCGTGTCAGGTTGCATAAACAATAAACATATAGTTATACACGATTTTCAAACTCAATATGGGATTATAATTATATTAACTGGGCAGCACTCGGCCTGTCACTCCGTCATATCTGCATGCTTATAAACAGTAAAGACTGGGGTCCCCAGGTTGTAAGGATTCGATAAAATACGCCATCACGGATCGGGAAATTGAGCGGCCATCCACAAAAGAAAAGCGGCCGCATTTTTTGTTAGTGTTGTAATCAGTTTTAAAATGTCGTCCCCAGTAATCCATCATTACTGACCCACTCAAGAGAGCGAAAAACGAAACTCATGAAAGAAAGTGCCAGTCAATGTTTACTCAGAAATGAATAATTGCAATAATTTTAACTACACCATATGTTTCTAAAATTCTCATAATGTAAAAAATCAAACCTGATACACACATCGCGTATAAACTATTAAATTTAATAATTGCAACAATTATTGCAAAAAAATTGGTTACTAAACATTAGAAAATGTGATTAGTAAATTATTTTCATATCCGAAAATTGCTCTTTAACAAGGTCACATTCATCAAATATGGCGTGCACTCTACAGTGAAGTTGAAATATAGGACTCAAACAGAATTGATATTAGTTTCTAAGATTAAGTGTGATAGAATATTATATATAATATATATAAATATAGGTATGATTGTTGAGGCTCTCAAAGTTAACACAGTCTATTTAACAACCCTACACAATATAAGTCCAATACCAACCAGTATAAATACTCCTGCTCCGCCTCCCAGGACAGGAACTTCGCTTTCTCTAGACAAAGTAAAACCTGACAGTACTATTCCTAATGCAACAGATAAGTTTATTGCCAGATTGTTGACTGCAGTTGATCGAACTCCCAAACCTTTGGTTGGTAGACCCCATCTTTCATAGAGGACGAATTTGCTCATTATGGATAGGTTTGCAACTGCAGCATCTCCTATTCCTACCAACACAGAACCTACTTCGAAACCGTATGGGAATTGTAGGAATGAAAACTTGGTTGTGGACCCAAAAGTAAAAATATATCCGGTATGAAAAGCAACGTTCCCAAAAATCATTGCAGAAAAAACATTCAACTTCTTGTCAGTAATATATGCAAGTACAAGTGCGGAGATAAGAGCGAAGACATTAAGACTATTCATTAATAGAACTGCAGTGTCGAAATCCTTACCCGAGAATGTAAAAATTCTCTCTGTAAGGTTGAAAATGAGGATATTGTATAAAACATTGTTCAGGAATAGTGCTATCTCAGGCATGTAGAATGCTATTTTCCTGATACAGCTAATCCTGTCACTCCCTTTTTGGGAGTCAACAAAATCTTCAAGAGAGCCTGCATTTTCAAGAAGTCTTTTGTTATCAATACTCTGGGCCCGTCTTTGGACCACTTTGATTGCCGGTATTAGGAACAAGGGTAGGCAGGTAAAAGCTGCTAATCCTAGTCCGACAAACAGCCACCCTCCCCATGAGTACAGTTGCGCTGCTAGAATACTTGAGATGATGTTTGCTACGTGCATGGAACAGCTTATTATTATTATGAGAATTTTGTATTCTTGCAGATAGAGGTCTACCATTTCTCCCTGAAAAAATATCATATTCAGGTCATTTATAAATGAAGGCAAGGCCTCTAGCGTAGCCTTTCACAATTGTCATGTTGAGTTAATATCAATAGTATATTTTTTCCAGGCATGGATCCACGGGTTGGGGGTGCAGAATCAGAAACTTTTATCAGATATTAGACGGTGAATTTGATCTATTTATCAGAGGTGATTTCATCTAAATCACATTCTGGTCAATGAATTTAATAACGAATTGACAACCACAGCAGTTGAGGAATTCCAGCATAGGACCCTGGCCTGCACCCCCAAAATGTCTTTGCTGGATCCATGTCTGAAGCTGTTTGATCTAAGAATGACATTTCATATATAATATTCGATTCGCCATAAGTAGAAACATGATTATCTTTCTAAATTTATATCTGTATTGCTGCTTAGAAATGAGGTATATAAACCCGCTCATAGACCAACGTGACAACACAATATAATATAATTAGAATATATTACCTGCAAAAGCAATACTAGCAAGCCAGTTGTCAATCCCTGGAGTGACCTCAATACGGAAATTATTACGAACGCCAGTCGACCATCCGGATACCTCTCCAAAACCACGTCTAGAACTCCCATCAGGGCTAGAAAAAGTGCATTGAGAAAGAACAGTACTGCACATCTTGTGATGACAGGACTTTGTGTTATGGCCTTTGGAAAGAACCGAAACAGATACGGACTCACCGCTGTAGTAATAAGTGTCATCGAGATCGCAATGGTACCTTTTGAAATGAAGAATTGAATGTTTACAAAATGAAATAGAGATAAATAGATATAATTCTTCAATTTTGTTCAAAAATAATCTAAATTTTTTGCCTTCCACGAGATTATGATCTGCCTTACATTTTGAGGAGTTAAAGAGGTGTAATTAAGTATTGAGTCACAGACTTCACAAAATTCAAATTAATATTCCTTACCGATGGTGCTGTTTAAATTCCTCTTCTTTAAGAACTCAAAATAGAATCCGCTAGTAAAGTTTCTAGTTGCCATGGCTGCCATACAACCCATACAGGAAAATAGAACAATAATTGCCAATTCCCAACTCCTCAGTTTATTTGTACCTGCGATGAAGATAGTGTTATCGTTGTTAAAATTCGTACCACTCGCCTGCTAATCATTGACATACTCATAGTCTATTTTTCTGTTTCACTATCGTTCTTACCATAGCGTTCAATTCCTTTTTTCTCGCTATTTTTCGAATTAACATTTTGAACCGTTCCATAATTTGCTATTACTCTGTCCTTCATGCCGACATTTTTCTGAAAAATTTTTAATGTCCATCAATCATTGCCCTGTTTTGCCATAAAGCAGTGGTCAACTCAGACATGCTGTATTACTAAATAAAAAAATTTAAAGAAGAAAAAATACCAAATACAACGTATTGAAAAGGACACATTTTATCAGAAAAGCTCGTTAAAAATTACACAGCAGTCGTGAAATCTACAGTGGAAAGTGGGGTGAAAAACGAATGAAAATAATCGAAACGAAAAGTGTTCACGAGGATATAATGGTTAAAATGCAGAACGAGAATGGCACAAACTCAGGGATAGCCAAACGTGCACCATGTACGTGGGTCAGCAATATGAGGGTCAGCAATATTCTGAGAAATTAAAATTTTCCAACTATTACATACAGAGGGTCGTCATAATTCGGAATCGCAATAGATGGAAGTTAAACTTCTTGTTCCTATTTGCGTTCGTTTTCTGGTCGGGTTGGGCGCAAAACTTCCACCCAAAGTATCCTCCGGAAAGTTAACTTCATGATATCATGATCCATGTTTTTTTTTCGCCGCATGGAGGAATATAATGAATACTATATATATATTTCGCAGTGGAGTTCCCCTGAAGACACCCTGAAAATGTTGAAATTTGATAAAATGTGGCTAATGAGTAATTATTCAATAAATACAGCGCGGACACAATAATTCGAAGAAAACAAACTTTTCGAGGAAAACTTTCAACGAACTCAAACTTAAGGGGCCATCTACTTAATAGGACGTCCGGCATAGAGGGTGGGGGTCGTTAAAATGTTGTGAAAAATTAAATTGCTACCAACTTTTGAGCTTATGTTACTCATGACATAATTTATGTTCTATAACATGGTTTCTTTTCAGTGCCGACAGCCGCTGAAGACGACAGAGAACACGGTGCCTCCTGTAACGGGAAAAAGAAGAAAGGTAACGAAGCAGTCCAGCACGCCCCGCAGTGAGAACTTCAGCAAACCCAGAAGTGCTCACGAAAGTGGGGACCTGCCCATGGAGCTGAAGAAAATAACAAACAGTAATGTTAATACCAGGTGAGGATACTGGCTGCGTACTTACTTTGGTTACTTTGGTTGTGTTTATCCTCGTAGCAGGAAGGCTCATCAGATTTCTGACCACCTCGATGGCGAGTAGTCTACCAGAGAATTAGACCAGCTGCAGCTATAACCGGAAGTCGGAGGGTTGTCCGGTATCAAAGCAATAAACTTGGACAAACTAACTTTAAACGACTCAAAAGTAGCTTCAGCTTTAATACTATCAGGCACTTTGTTCCATAGTTTTGGTCCTCTTACAGCAAATGAGCTGTCATAGAGTGTCTGGTTGCTCGAGGAACTCAACCTAGACAGGGAAGGGATGATTGCTCGGGTACCATGTCTGGATGTTTTTGAGACCTAATATTGCTGCAATTGGGGACAACATTGTGAAGGATCTTCCACGTCATCAGAATGGTGTACTGTTCCCTTCTGCGCTGCAGTGACATCAGCTTTAGATGTGAAAGCCTCTCCCAGATTGTCCGGGCAGATTGAACTATTAATAATATTCAACATTTAAACTGATCCTGTTATTGAAGTTTCACTGTTACCTATTATACCCATATAACCATCCTAAGTAGAGGATAAAAAACAATAGTTTCATACTTGTGTACTATACAGTATACATGTTTACTATACTTGTGTACTATACATGTTTACTATACGTGTGTACTATACATGTGTATTATACTTTTTACTATACGTGTGTACTATGCATGTGTACTATACATTTCCACTATACGTGTGTACTATACATGTGTACTATACTTGTGTACTATACTTGTGTACTATACATGTGTAATATACTTGTGAACTATACTTGTGTACTATACAGTATACATGTTTACTATACTTGTGTACTATACATGTTTACTATACGTGTGTACTATACATGTGTACTATACTTTTTACTATACGTGTGTACTATACATGTGTACTATACAGTATACATGTTTACTATACTTGTGTACTATACATGTTTACTATACGTGTGTACTATACATGTGTACTATACTTTTTACTATACGTGTGTACTATACATGTGTACTATACATTTCCACTATACGTGTGTACTATACATGTGTACTATACTTGTGTACTATACTTGTGTACTATACATGTGTACTATACTTGTGAACTATACTTAGCTTGTGTACTATACAGTATACATGTTTACTATACTTGTGTACTATACATGTTTACTATACTTGTGTACTATACATGTTTACTATACGTGTGTACTATACATGTGTACTATACTTTTTACTATACGTGTGTACTATACATGTGTACTATACATTTCCACTATACGTGTGTACTATACATGTGTACTATACTTGTGTACTATACTTGTGTACTATACATGTGTACTATACTTGTGAACTATACTTGTGTACTATACATTTTTACTATACGTGTGTACTATACTTGTGTACTATACTTGTGTACTATACTTGTGTACTATACATTTTTACTATACATGTGTACTATACTTGTGTACTATACATGTGTACTATACGTATGTACTATACTTGTGTACTATACATGTGTACTATACATATGTACTATACTTGTGTAACTATACATGTGTACTATACTTGTGTACTATACATGTTTACTATACGTGTTTACTATACATGTGTACTATACTTGTGAACTATACTTGTGTACTAAACATTTTTACTATACGTGTGTACTATACTTGTGTACTATACTTGTGTACTATACTTGTGTACTATACATGTGTACTATACTTGTGTACTATACATGTGTACTATACGTGTGTACTATACTTGTGTACTATACATGTTTACTATATTTGTGTACTATACTTGTGTACTATACATGTTTACTATACTTGTGTACTATACATGTTTACTATACGTGTGTACTATACATGTGTACTATACTTTTTACTATACGTGTGTACTATACATGTGTACTATACATTTCCACTATACGTGTGTACTATACATGTGTACTATACTTGTGTACTATACTTGTGTACTATACATGTGTACTATACTTGTGAACTATACTTGTGTACTATACATTTTTACTATACGTGTGTACTATACTTGTGTACTATACTTGTGTACTATACTTGTGTACTATACATTTTTACTATACATGTGTACTATACTTGTGTAGTATACATGTGTACTATACGTGTGTACTATACTTGTGTACTATACATGTATACTATACATATGTACTATACTTGTGTAACTATACATGTGTACTATACATGTGTACTATACGTGTGTACTATACATGTGTACTATACATGTGTACTATACGTGTGTACTATACGTGTGTACTATACGTGTGTACTATACATGTGTACTATACATGTGTACTATACGTGTGTACTATACGTGTGTACTATACATGTGTACTATACATGTGTACTATACGTGTGTACTATACGTGTGTACTATACGTGTGTACTATACGTGTGTACTATACTTGTGTACTATACATTTTTACTATACATGTGTACTATACTTGTGTACTATACATGTGTACTATACGTGTGTACTATACTTGTGTACTATACATGTGTACTATACATATGTACTATACTTGTGTAACTATACATGTGTACTATACATGTTTACTATACATGTGTACTATACGTGTGTACTATACATGTGTACTATACTTGTGTACTATACATGTGTACTATACATGTGTACTATACTTGTGTAATATACATGTTTACTATACTTGTGTACTATACATGTGTACTATACTTGTGTACTATACGTGTGTACTATACATGTGTACTATACATGTGTACTATACTTGTGTAATATACTTGTGTACTATACATGTGTACTATACATGTGTACTATACATGTGTACTATACATGTGTACTATACATGTGTACTATACATGTGTACTATACGTGTGTACTATACATGTGTACTATACATGTGTACTATACGTGTGTACTATACATGTGTACTATACATGTGTACTATACATGTGTACTATACTTGTGTAATATACTTGTGTACTATACGTGTGTACTATACATTTTACTATACGTGTGTACTATACATGTGTACTATACATTTTACTATACATTTTACTATACGTGTGTACTATACATGTGTACTATACATTTTACTATACATGTGTACTATACATGTGTACTATACGTGTGTACTATACATGTGTACTATACATGTGTACTATACGTGTGTACTATACATGTGTATTATACAATATGTGGGTTAATAACATTACTCATCAGGAGCACTCCACCAACCGCCTCCTCCAAGCGCCTTCTCAACAACCAGCCTGAAAAGCGTTCCAGAAAAGAGCCAACGTTGAACGACTCAAAACCAGAGGTTGTCCAGATTCCAGATAAACTTACTGTTGGAAAAAGGAAAGGCAATATCACTTCAAAAGTTGTTAAGGTAGTCCCAGTCTTTAACAGCCTTAATATCAATGTTTAAAATTTTGATCGTTTTCATCAATTTTCGTGGCAGTAATGTTCAGAAACTTTCACATATTACGTTAGCGGCACAGGGAGGAAAGAGTTATGTAACAAGAAATGCGGCCGCTTTTCTTTTGTGGATGGCCGCTCAATTTCCCGATCTGTGATGGCGTATTTTATCATATTCCGTACAACCTGGGGATCCCAGGCTTTACTATTTATACTTTATAAGCATGCAAATACGGCGGAGTGATAGGCCGAGCGCCGCCCAGTTAATTCTATATTAAATCTGAAAATCGTGTACATTTCTATCATGTAACATGCACTAACCATATGTTTATTGTTTATGCAACCTGATATGACACGGATCTGACCAAAATAGTAATACTAACTCGAAATAATATGCTATCAATAAGTGCCTAGTGGGATACCTACATGGTGAAATTAACGATTTACTTGATCGCCAATAATAATTTAATTCAGAATATCTCGCAAAATAACTTTGCTGTGAGAAGATGAAGATCAGACCTCGTTATTTGTGCAGTTATATTAGGAACGTGGGCGACATACTCGCAAGCTACCGTATACGGAAAAAACTCGTTCGCTAACCCTCACACAGAAGTCATGGATCGGGAAAAAATGCTAACAGGGAGTCTCATTGGCACTGTTACTAACATTTTCGTGAACCGCTGCTACAATTAAAATTCTGCTCAGATAAAAAAATCGGCAGCACCAAAAAAGTCTCAAGGACCGAAGAAAGCAGGTATTGAGGCCCCTCTACCAGTGAACTCCGTGATTGTGAACTCCACTCAGAAAACAAAGTAAGCAACTGGCAACATTATTATAATTGGAAGTGTTTATTTTCTTGTTATTAACCCATTCAGTTCGTTTAGCTCTATCTTTTGAACCAAGTCATTTATTGAGTGACATCGTTCATTAAATCTGCTATACTTGGGGGGGGGGGGGGGGGGGGGCAACGCCCCAAAAGGCCCCACACATATCGAAAATCCGAAAAGGGCCCTAGATATCGGGGCCGATTGAATAAACCATTGATCCAACGGAATCTTTAGCCCACTCCCTAGACTAGTTACTAACCACCTGGCCACTCAGCCTTTAAATGTTAAAATTGTGTGTGACTAAAATTGTGCGTGACTAAAATTGTGCGTGACCAAAATTGGTAAAGAAAGTATGTGCTACTTTGTTATGTTCGAAAAAAGGAAGTAGATGACGTTCAGAATAGGAAGTTGTCTCATCCAATGTGTTTCTGAGAAAAGGGTTTAAGTTATTAACTTTCTTCCCAGGTACACTCTAGAAGAAGTATTAGGATCAGGTGGATTTGGTTATATCTACATAGTCACCGTCGAGGGCACAAAGCGCAAAGCTGTCATGAAAGTCGTAAGTTATAAATATAATTAAATGTAACAATATCTGGGGGGGGGGGGCCAACCATATTAAAGTTTTTTAAGTATATCCCCGGGTCAAAATCGGAAAAAATCCTACATTTTAATATACTTTAATATACCTACAATTAGAAGATTTATATTCTTCGTTAAGATTTACATGATGAACTATATTTTTCACTCAGATTCGCAAGATAAGCCTGTTTTAGGACTAGTACATGAATTTCCATCCAGATTGGTCAAAAATTGGCTGAGCTATGAGCTTTAAAAAAATATGCCCATATTTGGGCATACGCTTTTGCCCAAATTCGCTTTTGCCCAAATTCGATAAAATTTCAATATTTTTTAATGAGACTAACTCTATGTGAAAGATATAACTCAGTGTTTGTTGAATATAGTGGATATTAAGTAAAAAGACCTCCATGAACAAAATTGGGAAAATTGCACATAATATCTCGGTTCGGAATACTAGCCAAAATGGCTTCATTAAAATTGAAATATCTCCATCAGTTTTCAATATTTTTTCAAGAACTTTTTGGAATCGATTGAGAATTGCATTTCAAGCTTATTTTGGGCAACAATTTTTGATGTAGGCCTCCAAGGAGATAGGGATATATTAAAGTATATTGTAGGTATATTAAAGTATATTAAAGTATATCCCCGGGTCAAAATCGGGAAAAATCCTACATTTTAATATACTTTAATATGGTTGCCCCCCCCCCCCCCCCCCCCCCCCAATATCTGGACAGGGACTCTTGACAAACTCCGCTCTATTTAAAACGGTAGCTTGGCTTTTTCGATTTATCGAACTTTTAAGGGGGGTTCAGGCTAGGAAACATGAATTTGATCGTTTAGGTCTTGGGTTGTGGTTAGGGTTATGGATAGCTTCGGGGCTATGGTTAGGGTTGGGATTTCTTAGATCTTTTCTGAGATTCATAAATTTTATAGATTCTTTTCTGAGACTCAGATTTCTTAGATTTCGTTTTCAAAATCACCTGGACACCCTTTTGATAATGATTACTGAGTAGATTATACTAACCATTTGACATGAGTTCCACATACAGGAGCCTCAAGATAATGGACCCTTATTCAGCGAGATGCACTTCTATCAGCGTGCTGGAAAGAGTGACCAGCTCCAATCCTGGACCAAATCTAACAAACTCAAATACTTGGGGATACCCGAGATGTATGGGTTTGGGATACACCTTTACAACAAGATCAAATACAGGTAGGGAGTATCTGTGTGTTAAATGTTCATTAGTTTCAGAATAGGAAATATAAGCATAGCTTTCCTTAAGTTTTTTTTTTAAATGAGGTGTGCAGTCAGTGTAGCTTTCGTTGCAATTACCGAGCTCTCTTATCTTTTGTAACTTGCGATAAGTTTAGTTTACTGCTACCGCGTAGTTACTAGTTAGCCTTTGCGTGTGTACTTGTACATTCCTATACAAGTACACTATGGAGGATGATCTTAATGTGACCCAATCTCTGGAGGAAATTCAAGCATTCGATTATGATGAACTGGAAAATGTTGAGGGCTGTGTTACTAAGTGGTTCATTGCGTTGGAAAAGAACTGAAAATCGAAAACGTCAACCATGATATTTATGAAGATATGTTTATAAAAGGACTCTGGCACTCTGGCTTGTGGAGGCAATAGACCTCGTTCGACGGCAGGAATGCCAGATCGCTAGCATGACGGAGAATGGAGATCATCCATTGCTTCAAGACGGAAGCGTTAGCAAACAAGGAAAAGGTGATCAGGCTGCAGGGCCAGCTGCTTGTGCAGAGGGACAAACAACTACAGTTGCTTAAGACGTCGGTTGAAGAGACAGTGCAAACAACGGTGGAGTCAGGGATTCAGAGCTACAGTGCAGCTGTACAACAGAACAGTGCAAGTGGTACGGTCTACAACAGTAACATTCTGAAGAAGGTGATGAAGAGTGTGGCTGCAGAGGAGGACAGGAGCAAGAACCTGATTGTGTTTGGGCTGAAAGAAGAGGAGAAAGAACAGCTTCCAGCGCTAGTAACCGCAGTTTTGGAGGAGATTAGAGAGAAACCTCATTTCGAAGCGACTAGAGTCGGCTAGAGTCGACCAGTCAAGATCACCGTCCCAAGCTCAACAACAGTTCATCAGATTCTAATGAAAACAGGGAGACTGAGGCTAGTTGAGACCCACAAAGATGTATGGATCTGTCCAGATAGATCCAGCGAAGAACGAGCAACGAGGAAGTATCTGGTCACTGACCTGAAGAAGGAGAGGGCTGAACAGACTCATACAGCCTCGTTTTTTATTGTTTCACACTTTTCATATTTTATAATTTTATTACTAGGTGGAGGTGATGTTATTGAGACTTTGGCCGGCCATAAAACTCGTGTTTTGAAAGTTTTGAAAGTTGTCCTCTGTACTTTTTTCACGCTTTTTAGCATTTATACATTTCGGCCCAATTTATATGTTTGTTCGATTTAATGTACATTTGTATATTTGCTATTTTGTAAAAGTATCAAATCAGCATTCAGCATTTAATAAATTATTGATGATTTAAAGTATAAAGCTGCCAAAAAGAGGAAAAAATAAATGAGCAAAAAGAAAAGAGGAAAGAAGGACTAGAGAAAATAAAAGGGAGAAATTGCCAAACTTTTCTCAATTTACTTAGTTTATTCCACGGATTTTCTGACCTCCCTTATTTCGAAAACGGTCGCAAAGGTATTTTAAGATATATCCATGTGAGGAATGACCATTGATTTGATCTCTTTCTAATTGGTATATGCCTTGGTCAGGTACTTGGTTATGCCGTTATTCGAAGGAGACCTATTAAAGAAGCACGAAGAACACAAGAAGAAATTCTCCATACAGACTGCCCTTATCCTCTGTATTCGGTAAATGTTTGAACTTCTTAGCTTGTTTAATACAGGATGGCCCAGAAGTAACTGCCCACAGGCAACCCTTTAACTTTGACACGAATAACATGAGTTATTAAAGTCAGAGGGGGGTAAAAATAAATTTTCCAGTTTTCACATATTATGTGTTAGAGCTGCTGGAAACGAACAAGGAAAAAAACCGGACTGAAACTTGAATTTGTCAAAAATCACATTGTGTCATTTTGTTAACCTCATATTTCAAGAATAAAAGCAAAAATCAAGATTCTAAAACATAACGTTTTTGCGTGACACCCCAAAGAACACCCGTACCGAGTTTCAGCTCCTGGTTGTGGTCTTTTCCAAAAGTGAAGGTTAACCTTTTTTGAGTTTAAGTTTAAGTTTTACATGTAATTACAGGTAAACCGCAATATTTGTTGCGCGATATCTCAAAAACGCAAGGTCAAATCTCAGTTCGGTTTTTTTCTTCTTTTTCGTTTCCAACAGCTCTAGCTCATGTGTGAAAACTGGAAAAATGATTTTAACCCCCCCCCCCCCCTTCTGGCCTTAAAGGGTTGCGTGTGGCCCTGTTCGTCGTCCGCCCCGCGTTTTAGCATGTTTAACAAGACTAATATACTGGAGGGGGGTGTAGTATAGTCCCTCAGCATATTACAATGCATATTCCCTGCAGGATGGTAGAAGCACTGCAGTACATGCACGAGGCTAGCTACGTGCACGCAGATATCAAGAGCGCTAATATTCTCCTCAGGAACGGCGGCAAAGAGGTACGATTATATTCTACTGCATTTATGTGCATCTTTTCTTGCGGTGTTTTAGCCGCCTAGCCGGTATCTTGCCCACATTTAATGCTGTTTTTTTTTTTAAATAATTCTAGAGCTTTTCTTTCCTTTTCTACGGTCTGAGGTGGTAATGCTAGCTAGACGGTCTGTGGTACTGCAGGGTCTTTAAAAACATCTCAAAGCCAAAGAGATACCAGTACCGCGACCGGTCGCTTTCTACCAGGCAGCCAGTAACAATATACTTCTATTTACATATTCAATAGTTCACATATTCACTAGTTCACATTTTGATTTGGCATTTTCCTCTATTTGTTTTAGGTTTTCCTAGCTGATTTTGGATTAGCTCGCAAGTACGTTATGGAGGGAGTACACAAGGCTTATAAGGAAGAACCAGCTAAAGCTCACGATGGCACTAAGGAGTTCACCAGTATAGATGCCCACAAAGGTAACCTAACATTCCTACAGGAGTAACCTAACATTCCTGCAGGAGTAACCTAACATTCCTGCAGGAGTAACCTAACATTCCTGCAGGGGTTTACCTAACATTCCTGCAGGAGTAACCTAACATTCCTGCAGGAGTAACTTAACATTCCTGCAGGGGTAACCTAACATTCCTGCAGGGGTAATCTAAAATTCCTGCAGGAGTAACCTAACATTCCTGCAGGGGTAACCTAAGATTCCTGCAGGGGTAACCTAACATTCCTGCAGGGGTAACCTAACATTCCTGCAGGGGTAACCTAACATTCCTGCAGGAGTAACCTAACATTCCTGCAGGAGTAACCTAACATTCCTGCAGGAGTAACCTAACATTCCTGCAGGAGTAACCTAACATTCCTGCAGGGGTAACCTAACATTCCTGCAGGAGTAACCTAACATTCCTGCAGTAGTAACCTAACATTCCTGCAGGGGTAACCTAACATTCCTGCAGGAGTAACCTAACATTCCTGCAGGAGTAACCTAACATTCCTGCAGGGGTAACCTAACATTCCTGCAGGAGTAACCTAACATTCCTGCAGGAGTAACCTAACATTCCTGCAGGAGTAACCTAACATTCCTGCAGGGGTAACCTAACATTCCTGCAGGAGTAACCTAACATTCCTGCAGTAGTAACCTAACATTCCTGCAGGAGTAACCTAACATTCCTGCAGGAGTAACCTAACATTCCTGCAGGAGTAACCTAACATTCCTGCAGGGGTAACCTAACATTCCTGCAGGGGTAACCTAACATTCCTGCAGGAGTAACCTAACATTCCTGCAGGAGTAACCTAACATTCCTGCAGGGGTAACCTAACATTCCTGCAGGGGTAATCTAAAATTCCTGCAGGAGTAACCTAACATTCCTGCAGAAGTAAACTAACATTCCTGCAGGGGTAACCTAACATTCCTGCAGGAGTAACCTAACATTCCTGCAGGGGTAACCTAACATTCCTGCAGAAGTAAACTAACATTCCTGCAGGAGTAACCTAACATTCCTGCAGGGGTAACCTAACATTCCTGCAGGAGTAACCTAACATTCCTGCAGGGGTAACCTTACATTCCTGCAGGGGTAACCTAACATTCCTGCAGGGGTAACCTAACATTCCTGCAGGAATAACCTACAATTCCTGCAGGGGTAACCTAACATTCCTGTAGGGGTAACCTAACATTCCTGCAGGGGTAACCTAAGTCCTTACATTCCTGCAGGATTAACCTAACATTCCTGCAGGAGTAACCTAACATTCCTGCAGGAGTAACCTAACATTCCTGCAGGAGTAACCTAACATTCCTGCAGGAGTAACCTAACATTCCTGCAGGGGTAACCTAACATTCCTGCAGGAGTAACCTAACATTCCTTCAGGGGTAACCTAACATTCCTGCAGGGGTAACCTAACATTCCTGCAGGAGTAACCTAACATTCCTGCAGGAGTAACCTAACATTCCTGCAGGGGTAACCTAACATTCCTGCAGGAGTAACCTAACATTCCTTCAGGGGTAACCTAACATTCCTGCAGGGGTAACCTAACATTCCTGCAGGGGTAACCTAACATTCCTGCAGTAGTAACCTAACATTCCTGCAGTAGTAACCTAACATTCCTGCAGGGGTAACCTAACATTCCTGCAGAAGTAACCTAACATTCCTGCAGGGGTAACCTAACATTCCTGCAGGAGTAACCTAACATTCCTGCAGGAGTAACCTAACATTCCTGCAGGGGTAACCTAACATTACTGCAGGAGTAACCTAACATTACTGCAGGAGTAACCTAACATTCCTGCAGGGGTAACCTAACATTCGTGCAGGAGTAACCTAACATTCCTGCAGGAGTAACCTAACATTACTGCAGGAGTAACCTAACATTCCTGCAGGAGTAACCTAACATTCCTGCAGGAGTAACCTAACATTCCTGCAGGAGTAACCTAACATTCCTGCAGAAGTAACCTAACATTACTGCAGGAGTAACCTAACATTCCTGCAGGAGTAACCTAACATTCCTGCAGGAGTAACCTAACATTCCTGCAGGAGTAACCTAACATTCCTGCAGAAGTAACCTAACATTCCTGCAGGAGTAACCTAACATTCCTGCAGGAGTACCGCCTTCCAGACGAGGAGATATGCAGATACTAGGCTACTGCTGTATTAACTGGTTGGGGGGGTCATTACCTTGGTATTCCTGGGATAATTGTAACAACATCCGCTCTGAGAAGATTAAGTAAGTTGTTGAGATGGTTCTCAGTTTGGACATTTTGACTTTGTATTCGAACAAAAGCTAATTAAATGACTTAGTTATACAGTAAAACTCCGGGGTTTTACTGTAGTTAGATTTCTGTTATAGTTAGATTAGTTATTACTTATTATAGTTATGTTTCTGTTCAATAAATTTATGAGAAAAGTTTGCTTTTTAAATCATTTTCCGATAAATAACTTCTTTACAGGTATGAGAAGAAAAGCTCTAACTTGTTGGAGTTCAGTTTGGGTCTAGCTAACTTATCTTCCAAACCTTGGAAGGGTAAGTTAGGCTCTCATTTCTTATTTCGCATCGGGCATTTTCTTAAAACCTTTTTACTACAATTTAACTGATTTTGCAACGGTTTATACTATACGGGGAACATGCCCAAAAGATGGCGGTTAAAATGGGGAGGTGAGCCGAATTAAAGGTAGTGGGGAGCTCAATATGGGTTTATAGTGTCCCCCCCCCCCCCCAGGCACGTAGCCAGGGGGGGGGGCTAGGGGGGCGGCAGCCCCCCCCGGAAAAAATCGAACCCCAGAAAAAAGATAAGCCCCCTAGTCGCCTGGTAACTGGGCTGTGTTTATGACTGCAGTCAGTCAAAGATTTGAACTGTGGATTAGTAAATATATGTCATTAAATCCAAGCAAACATTCTAGAAGACTTCTATAATTATAGTCAATAGTGTCCCCTAGACCGTAGGAAATGTAAAAATCTTAAGACGATGAGGCCTGAGTAAGTCGTAAATTCTGATTGGAGAATGCAGATTGCTGTTGTGAAGTTACCAAATTTACGTGAGTACTTGATTCTTTTCAATCCCAGTTTATTGCTGTCCTACAAATTTCTTTAATGCCAAATGTCGTCTAAAACACCCTGTTTCGCAAAAAATTTCCGGGGGGCTGCGCCCCCCTAGCCCCCGCCAAGGGGCTCCGCCCCTGGACCCCGCTGGGGGCTGCGCCCCCAGACCCCTGCCACAGCTTGCTCGCTTCGCTCGCTGCGCAGCTTGATTGGACGCGTCGGCTCGCTTCGCTCGCCGACAGCCCCCTTCAAAGAAAAATCCTGGCTACGTCCCTGCCCCCCCCCCCCTGGTTTCTGTCATCTAATTGTTAAACTATTCCCCATTAGATGGGGCTGATGAATGAATAAATTTGACGATATCCCCCATTTCAGCTATTAAGAACTTCTTGACGAACGTGTTTTCCCTGGGTTACGAGGACAAACCCAGCTACTCCACCATTTCCTCTTATCTCAAGTCCGGCCTCACTACAACAGACACTGGGTATATGGTATGGTCGTGAGAACAAGGCAGTAACTTTGTTAATGGAGACAATTAATCACTGTTTTTAACAGGTTTTACGTTAAGTGACTACGTCATTACTACGTCATTACTACGTCATTACTTTATAATGACACCTAGTTGGGTGTTATTGTAACACCGTGTTCTGGTTCTGTTCTTGCTCCTTTTTATGGAAGTGAAGAGAGAAGGAGAAGCTCAATAACTAATAATGCTAATATTGCAGAGATATCTGAATGACATTTCATGATTTTAGAGTCACATGTAATTTAATTATTATTAAAATGAGGTTTCGAATTGTTTTCTCATTTGTTGTACTTTCAACTTTTAGTATTAAGAATTTATGGTTTTGAAAATACTCTAAATTTCACACCCTTTAGAATTTCGATTTAAATAATAAACCTTTTGGATTAGTAACATTTTGAACCGTATTTTTTAGCAACTGTCAACTCATCTGAAATAGATATATATATTTCTTGAAAATGTTCTCAATAATATATCTGATACGGGTTATTGAATTAAAAAGGCCATATGTTAATTAATTACAGTGAAATTCCTCGTTCAAAAAGTTATTTTCCGCAATTTTCTGGATTCATTTATTGTTGTTGCGCGGCGCTACATTGGTCGAATAAATCGTCAATTTTTACCATACACGAATCCTATTCATTTATAAAAAACATAGTATGTAAATATGTTGCACTTTTTTACTCAAAAGAATCAATGGTACAAGTACATCGTAGGGAAACTTAATCGTGCGTGGTTTAACCGCGGGTCATACAACGTATGAAAACAAAAGAGTGGAAATAAAGATAATCGTTATGCTTCTCTTTATTACTTTATTACTGGATTTACTGGGCCGCGCTCAGCCTGTCATTCCGCCAAATCTTTATGTTAATGAACATAATAGCCTGGGGTCCTCAGGTAATACTGGATGCGCGGCCCAGTAATTTTATTTCAAAATTCAAATAAACTTTACATCAATGTATTACAGTTACATTCAATAAAAAAAGACCACAATATCTCCTGTGAAACAAAAACATGGAAAAAGAGAGCTAGAAAAATATTCATGATACTCAACACTACCAGACTCAGCTGGAGTGAGAAACAATATGTAAAAACATCAAAGTAAAATTTATTTCGGCTGAACCAAAACACGGTGGTAAGACCATAATTACATTGGTGCCGACCCTACATAAAATCATTAATAAATAATCAAGAGAACAAATTTAAATGTATACGATACCTTCTTGCTACTACTCCACAAACTTACACGACATAACAACAAAATAACATAATTGATAATTAAATAATATTATAATAAAACAATCTATAATCTAGCCACTCACGTACTGCGTGACGCGCTTGTTTGCGATAGGGTTGCGGTTAGGGTTACGTATACCTTTGAGGTTATAGTTAAATGGTAAATTAGGTTATGCTAGGATTTATCAAAAACTGATACGTTTTTTATTTAGGGAATTTATTGTTGTTGGATGAGCCAAATGATAGAAAAAATTGTTGTAGGTTTATAACCTACCAGGACGCGCGCCGAGTTGGACTTGTCCTAATATTTGATACAAATAATTTGCGAATATCACTGATCACCCGTTAAGAAAAATTCATGATTCTGGATTCGGACATTTCGTAACACACTACATGCTACTTGTCATACGTTGTATGACCCGCCGCGCACGAGTGCGTGGCTCCCCCTGTATCGTAGAAACTCTACTATAGTGAAGCGACAGTGGGGGTCACCACGTGATACAAACATGCTACAACTATATAATAAAATCTAATTTAATATTGATCTTTAATTCGTTTTAATATTATCCACCTTCAATATTTAGAATATAATCAATAATGAGCTGCTTGCATTATCATTGCTTTGCCTTCCGATCGTTGCAGAGCTATGACCCTAAAAGGGTTAGCATCGTAAATTAACCACGAATTTGATCACCGAGAGGTTTGAAATATTTGTTTCGTGATGATGTTAACTGGTGATACTCGTAAAATATTTGTTTCAATTAGGACCGTCGACGAGTCCAACTCGGCGCGCGTCCTGGTAGGTTACAAACCTACGATGGTTACACAATTGTAGATTATAAACCTACAATGATGATGAAAGTTCAAGCCCCGTGACATATATTTGATTTTATATACTAATAATCGCTGGATTAGCGATAAATTTGTATGGTTTTATATTGCGGTCCCAATTTACGCTCCTACATCCTACTAAATCGCTTTCCCAAATTTTAAGAAAATTCTTGTGAAAAGTCCCTTTGGGTATGAAATTGATCTCAATCGGTGTATTTTTGGACGCTGATTCCGAATCACCCCAAAAGGGAAAGGTCGGGAAACTGACTTTAGGTTCAAATGGAATATGATCTTAGCTATACAACGTAGACCTTTTTAATGTTTGTACACACATCGGAATAAGCAAATTAAAAATTTTGCTTGTGTGAAAAAATATATTGTATAACGTATACTGTTACCATTTTTCTCGCTGGTTAATCTGATATAATCCTTAACCTTATTAGTAAAATTATTCAAACAATATACACATAATTGTCACAATGACACTATATAAAAACAACCCTTCAAAAAATCAATATATTCCCTATCTCAAATATTGGGAGAAAAATTTGAATATCAACCTTTGCCTTGTGGCTCCAAATTCAAATCTAAACAAATCTAATCCTCAACTTTATTTAGTATTTTTGATTTCATGAGACCCGTGTTTTGTTTTTAACTTTTTGCTCCGTGGAGGAGAGGAAGTTTTGTTTGAGGAGAACCGCTCAGGCATGGGCACCGTATCGTGTAAATTATTTAGTTTTATTTTATATATATATGTAGTATTTCTGACGCCTAGTAGCGGACTTGTAAATGCTGTGTTTCGGTTACTTTCGTGACTTTCGTGACGTCGTCTTTCAGTATGATAAGTTTTACTTTCAAAAGGTCTTCTCGGAGTCTTTGGAGTGGCCTGTACCATACATTAATTCCTTATTCTGATGTATGAGATCTCTAATATACCCTGTTGATTTTTCATAACTCAGATAAATCAAAATTATTGGTATAACATATAACACTATAAATCTAGTACATTTATTGAGCGATGGAAATATTCAAAGCGGGTAATAGCCTGTCCAAACCCAGGCTACATAACATGAAGACTTTGTTGTAACTTGTATGAATAGCATTTATACAAATGAATTCAGCTCTTCTTTCATCTCGCCACATGACCAAACCATCTGAGCCTAGTTCTACTGAGCTGATAGAATGCTCCAGAGGCCTTTTGAATACATGAGAGTTCTTTATCAGTTGATCCATCCGTAATGATGATATAGCAAAGTAAAGTAAAGTAAAATTTAGGGCATCACATCATCTGATAAAGTTTAGTAAAGCCAAGTAAAATTTATGAAATCACATCATCTCACATGTCTACAAAATATTATCGCACTATATTACAAAATATATAATAAATATTCCCCCATACCACCAACATCAATTTTTTATATAATACAGTTTATCAAAACATTTAATTATCCTATTTATTTAACAACAGACCCTAATTATACCGTCGACAATTCATATGAAAAATTTTACACTGCAATCATAGTCGACGATAACTAAGTAACTTCTAATTCTTTTAAATCTGAGGCATATATAATTGATGTATCGAAAAGATATTCCCTTTTTTAACACCTTACCATTCTGATTGATTTTGCACATGACTGACATGTTTTAACTGGAGAAGGGGTTCCCACAGTGGTAGTTTTATAAACCACTTTTAATTTATTGACCTATTATACTTAGTGGAAGTTTTATAGACCACATTTAATTGTGGTGTTCATCCTAGACTCCTGAGGTATTTAAGTGAGAACAGTTCCTTTGTGGATGCGGTTGTGTTGCTGTTTAGTGCCTGTGCTTCTGAGCAGTATATTCCTGAGGTATGGAAAACTGCCACTGTTGTGGCCTTGCACAAGAAGGGGTCAGTACATAGTCCTAATAATTACAGGCCTGTGTCACTGACTTGTATACTATGCAAAGCCTATGAGAAGCTTCTTAGGGAGTATATTCTCGACGGTGTTGAACAGGTGCTTAGTAGCACACAGCACGGCTTCATGAAGGGTCGGTCATGCTTATCTAACCTATTGGAGTCTATTGACGCTGTCAATGACTTGCTGGCTGAAGGTGGCTGTGCTGATATATTATACTTTGATTTCTCTAAGGCCTTTGATAGCGTACCACACCACCGTTTATTAGTTAAATTAAGAAATGTTGGTGTTCCTGAGGAGATTATTGGTATTTTAGAAAACTTTTTAGTAGGGAGGTCTATGAAAGTTAAAGTAGGAGATGCATTTTCTGAGATTAAATATATACTTTCAGGAGTGCCCCAAGGCAGTGTTTTGGGACCATTGCTCTTTCTTTTATTTGTAAATGATCTTCCAGAAGGGATCAAAGCTATCATCAAACTTTTTGCTGATGATGTTAAAATGATTGTTAATCCTTTTATTAATCTAACAGCTGATTTGAAGTTGCTAGAACTTTGGGAGTCTCGTTGGTGTTTAAATTTTAATGTAGATAAGTGTATGGTCATGCAAATTGGTTCTTGTAATCCTAAGAATCAGTACTTGTTTGGTGGTTTGCCTTTGAGATGTGTTGAAAGCGAGAAGGACCTTGGAGTGGTCTTTAACACCAGTTTCAACTTTGAGGATCATGTGAGAAAGTGCATTGCTAAAGCTAATGGTACCATTGCCTGGCTTACAAGAAATATTATATCGAGGGAAACAAGCGTTATGCTGGGCTTGTATAAGTCTTTAGTAAAGCCTCATATAGAGTATTGTTCACAGGCATGGGCTCCGATGGCTAGGCATGGAAACTGGTCACTGATTCTTGAATTGGAAGGTGTCCAGAGATCGTTCACCCGTATGATTGATGGATTGGGACTCATGACTTACAGAGAGAGACTGGATAAGCTGAACCTCACCACCCTGCTTGAACGCAGGGTTCGTGGAGATCTCATTGAGATGTTCAAGATCCAGGAAGGCTTTGTGGGTTATGGTTCCGATTTATTTGGTCGTTCTGGTAGGACTGTTGCTGCTAGATCAAAGACTCATAGATTCACCACAAATGAGACTGATTTCTTTGCCCAAAGGGTCTTGCGCTATTGGAACAGTCTACCACCACTTGTGAAAGCTAGTGAGTCGGTTACTGGTTTCAAGAGGGGATTAGATGCCTTTCGGCTTCATGGATATCGAGCTAATAAGCTTGGTCATCACTGGAAACTTTCATATGATATATTTGATAGAATTGATGTTACTGTAGCTCACAGGAGTAATTATGTAAATTATATGAAAGATAATCCAATAATAGCTAAGAGGAAGAAGGTCAATTTAAGAGGCCTTACTTAGGCACTTATCAGCCAAGTTTTCAGTTAACTTCTTTTAATTTTTATATTTTAATATAATAATTAAACGTAAATTGTACAGTTTTGAAGTAATTATATTTGTATATGAGATGCCCAGAGAGGCATAAATTTAAATCTTATCTTATTAACTTATCATACTTAGTATTTATTTTTGGTGACTGTATCACCCAGTTTTAACATTTGATAATTGTACAGTTTATTGACGACACATTGACTGAATGTTATTTTATATTCTAATTTATATTCTAGATATTTTATTTATTTTACAACAGACGACAACTTCCTGTTTTTTCTTCTATATTAGTTACTCATATCTCTTGTACAGACTTTTTTACAAGGACATTGACAAATGATACTCACATTAGGCATTCATTATTGCATCTAAATTATTTCACTTGCATTAGGCTTAGAAATTTATTCTCTGGTCAACAGATTTCAAATGTTTAATTAATTTGTAGTATGACAGTAAGGTATATAAGAAGTTATTTAATTTTGCTTGGGCTATTATATTGACTAGGTATTGAGGTTTAATGATGATATGGAATTTGAATTCTATATAAATTTACACTATGTGGTTGGGGCATTTTGCATAGTAAATATGGTTACTACTCATATATATCATATTATTTGATTGGTATTCGATTTCTGATTATTTCTTAGGAATATGATTATTATATCTCAATTTGGCTTTAGGTAGGGTGCCCCGCTAAAAGAACTGGATTCTTCCAGGAAGCATCCCGTGCACAGACCTTGGTCTACATATATATTAAATTATTAACCATTCATTCTGTATGTGCACGAAAATTTATTTCAATCAATTTATAGGAGCACCTAAATAATTGAAGATACTTCTTGCGGGTCCGGGACTCTAGGGCGTAAGACTCTAGGGCGTGAGACTTTAGGGCGGCGCCCTAACCCTAACCATCACCCTAACCCTAACCCTAACCCTTATCCTAACCCTAACCCAAACCCAAACCCTAACCCTAACCCTAACCCTAAGACCCTAGAGTCTTACGCCCTAGAGTCTTACGCCCTAGAGTCCGGACCCCACTTCTTGCATATAACTTTGAAGTCCACGGTGACGTCTTAAGAAAACGGTCTCTGCAATGCACTTTTGCTGATAGCCATGCTCTGTGTTTTGCCAGCTTAAATCTTCATACTCGCATGGGGACTATTTCAGGAGAAGGTCAATGGTATCCTACAGTCATTCCTTTGAGTTGTCTAATTTGGCCATGTCATGGTGACCCATTATAAAATTCCAAATCCTTTGACTGCCACTGGGCCAATCCATGTATTAACCTCAATAGTCCTAATAAAAAGTTTCCCGACCATTCGGTACAGTATACCAAAATTTGTCAAGTTGTTAAATTGGATAATCAATAAAACGGCATCAAGTAGGTGATATCTTCGTAATTAAAATTACATCTCTAGCATACTAAAAAGGAACATAGTTAGAAACAAGAATAATTCTTACAATTGATAGAAAATTTAACATTATTATAAAAATCACAAGCTGAGTAATCTAAGAAAAAAGATCGAAGATGGTAGCCAAACTAAAGGGGGCCATGAAAGAGCTGGACGCAGTTTCTAGACCTACCCGGGTCTAGGGAAAAAAACCTAATATTATCTAAGTATATCAAAATGCCATTTTTAGCTGTGCTTCACATGTACAGTGTTTCCAGATCCTTCGGCTGATACGACTGCAGGAGATTCTATGTAAGTCCTCACACTTGGGATTGATGGACAAACAGGGCTGGGATCTGTGACATTCTGATTTCAAAGCCCTCTCAACGAAAGCCCTTTATTTTTAAATTCATAATTTAATTTCAGTAACCAATGGACCACCAAGTTCCAAAACATTCCAGTTCAGAGTTTTGGTCAACGATATTCCTAGGTATGTTGTTGTTGATGTTGTGTGTGTTTTGACATTGAATTAGAATGTTTCAAATTAAAGACAAACCTGCTGAACGACTTCCGAACAAGTCTTGTGGTATTACATTGATCCTTGTTGTGGTGCATTTTCCACATTCGGACAGGCAAGGAACTGTTTACACCAGTTGGTTGCAACTTCACAATTTAATACGTGGTTACAAGAGCCGTTTTTATGTCAGTGATAGCATGTTTTGATGTTTTGTTTTCGTTGACGAAGGATTTGTGCCCTTGATGTTCTTACCACAATTCAGCTCACTAAATTGTAGCCATAGCTTGTTCAACTCGGGCCTTATGAGGGCCAGGGGTGATCGTCTATCTTTGTAGGTTATAATTCAGTACACACATACAGGGGGAACTCATGGTCTCACACGCGTAGAGATTCCTACTTTATCATCAACATGAGTGTCGCCCCCATATGAATCAATTCTATGTTTTAAAGAGCCCATATATATTTTTAATTGAACCTCTTTTTCTTCAGTTGTCATATCGATGATCTGCATTCTTTGATTCAAAATACCATTTAACCTCATGAGTCATGACACATTTAAAAATCTTTAACAGTAGAAGAAAACTTCAAGTCTTGTTTTATTGAAACGTAACTGTGTATAAGGTAATATATGACGCTCGAGCCAGAGTCATTTGTTAATTTCTTATATATCTGTTTCATCACTAACATATATTCACATTTAGCCAGACCATGGGCATCGTGCTGAAAACATTGAAGGGTATATATTTTACCCTGGCCTGCCTTATATCCTCATGGCTGGCATCTTGTTTCTTTCTGTTACCATCCTACCCACTGGGAATCTTCGTACCTCACATCTACCGATCATATATGCAGTTTGTGATAGGGACTTGGCTTCTTTTCCCCCCTTCAATTTACGAGGTATGGTATTTATGTTTCTAATCACCTGCATGTCTACTATTTCCCCCTAACTTACTACTCATTTAGCCATGGTGTTGAAAACAGTAAAGGGTATATATTTTACCCTGGCCTGTTTTGCATCCTCATGGCTTGGATCTTGTTTCATTATGTTGCCCTCGTACCTGCTGGGAGTCTTCGTACCGCATGTCTACCGATCATATGTTCAGTTTATGATGGGTACATGGCTTCTATTCCCCCCTTCAATGTACGAGGTAAAGTATTTGTGTTCTTCTTTTTAATCATGAATAATTAAAGAATTCAATGAATTGATTAAGAAAATAATATATTGTTAAATGTTTATAAACTGCATGCCAATTGAAGGATGCTGAGCATGTGCAGCAGATTCTGGTATCTTCTACCTTAATAAATCTAGTATTTGTCCACAGCTACTGTGGGGAACTCAAATACGTGTTAGTGGGGATAAGATGAGGCGAAGTGAGAGCTGTTTGATAGTAGCCAATCACCGCACACGTCTTGACTGGATGTTTATGTGGTCAGTTACCGGGCGAGCACGGTGGTCCGCTCTCATGAAGATTATTTTGCGCGGTGATCTGAAGCATCTTCCTGGTTTCGGTGAGTAATTTTTAACCTTAAAATCATTTTAAGGCTTTCGTCGAAGTTCCCTTGCATCATATTCACAACCTTTTCCAGTATGATAATTTTTTCTTTCTTTGTTAGTAATATAGAATAGTAATATTAACATCTTCACAGGCTGGGCTATGCAGTTTGGAGGTTTCTTTTTCTTATCAAGAAAGTGGGCGAGCGACGAAAAATATCTCACTGATAAAATAAGGTTAGTGAGAGGTCCCGTCGAATTCAACGGAGAAATAATCCAAAGCTCGATGAGACACATCCGAGTAGGGAAAAGGATTTGTTGATATCTTACGGGTCTCCCCTACCCTTCTCTCGTCACATCGAATTCTCTTATCAGGTACTTTACAACAGCTACAGAGCCCCATAAGTTACTCATCTTTCCGGAGGGTACCGACTATGACACCAAGACCAAAAAGCGGTCCGACGCTTATGGAGACAAGGAGGGGTTACCACATCTAGATTATGTTCTTCATCCTAGGACCACAGGTATTACCCAGGTACTAGCTCTGAAGTATTTTGCTTCAATTATTGGCGAACTCATTATATTTATGAACTTAATCATTTAATAATGATCAGGCAGAACTTGTTTAGCCGAATTTGAATCACGGTGTTAATAAAGTTAATATATTCTCTATCGTTAGATATCAGCCCCCAAATCTATGGAACTAAAATTATCATACCCGCAGGATTTATCCACTGTGTGCAAGAGTTAAGAAAAGGTAATGTTCCTGCTCTATATGACATGACACTAGGCTACCCTAAAACTCTGCCAGACCGTGGCGAATTGGATCTTATCACTGGCACTATGCCTGAAGAGGTTAGATTTTAGATTGATAACTAGACTTACACCAATTTCAATTAGTGGCAGCTGAAAGCCTGGATTGATGTCATGATATTTCACCAACAAACTCGCTCCATTTCTGGTGAACAAGCTCAGAGCTTAGAAGCTATGAGAGCTGAGTAATGACTAAGATAAAATATAATTTTTATGTTTCTCTTATTTTATACATGAAATAGGATAAAAAATAGGTTCACTACGCTTCACGCTCTTATCTCTTCAATCTCTTCAGATACACGTGCACGTTCAGAGATTTGATATGGACGATATACCGTCTGAGAAATTAGAAACTGATAGATGGTTACGAGAACTTTGGTACGAAAAGGAAAAAAGACTCGAAAACTTGTAAGTGCACCGTCTAGCGATCACAGCTACGGAGAAATGCTATTGTCATTCACTATATATTCTCTTCATCAATATGCAATGGGCGATGTCAATGGCTAAAATAGCGATAATTTCGATTGACTTAAAATTTTGTTTAAAATTCCATAGAATTTAAATCTAGATACGAGTGTTCAAATATTAGAGTTTTTGTTAAAATAATCAATGAGCCCACAACAGTTAATATCCTCAGCTACAAAGAAGGCCAGTTCGCGGAAGAAAACCCCAGCAAGCCCTATTTCCCTTCCTCCGCAGACAACTTCAAGATACCAATATTCGTTATCTGGAACGCTGGACTCCTCTTAATAATCTACCTCCTTTTTGTCTCACCTGTCACCAGATCGTATGTTATTAAAGTCTCGTAACATTACAACTTCCGAAAATCAAGCCATGTTCTACTTTTGTTTGTCGTCGAACCCTATGATTGTCTATACTAAGTAATATTGTCTATAATAATACTAAGTAAAGCTAGCTTACTGCACTAGAACTAGTATAATGTTTATCTGACTTGTAAATTAACCCCAGGTACCTGCTATTTTCAAACCTTGCCCTCATCGTCCTCTCAACTCTAGGCCACATAGAGGACATTGACAGAAAGTTCGAGAATAATGAACCCACAATCTCTGAGCAGCCTTCCTCAGAAACCATCAGTACATAGGATTATATAGTACTTCTCTCAAGTAAAATCGGTATAATCATCGGAGGTAGTTACTTATTATATTGAGAGTTTAATTAGTTTTATACGAGTGCATGAAAATTTGCGTATTTTTAGAGAACGTATTTAGATTCGTGTAATACAACTTTTTGAGCTTAATCTGTGTATATTTACGTAATGTAGGGGAGATGAAAGTAGTAAGCTGTAAGACCGAGGAGTTTGAAGCCTCGTGCTTATTATGATTGATGTAAATAAATGATAATTATGAAAAGTTAAAATGTTCAGTGAATTAAAGTTTTGGCATAAGTTCTGTGCTTACTGCTTAGTTGAGGAGGTGTTGCAACTAAAAAACAACCACCAGAGCATTATATTTGGTTTGCAGCCTCCTCTCTTGGATTTGCTGGCAGTAAATCCGACAAATATTTCGTTTTTCTTATTATATAAAGACACGCATGTAATAATTGCAATGTTTTAATTTGGTGATTTTTACCGAAATCATTTAAAAATTTTATTTCAGTTTGGTTATGAGTTAGTATTGAATTGGGTAGAACTAAGCGTTAAGAAGATGGGATATGTATCTTTTATTAAATTCTTCTAATTCTCTTTGATACAGAAATTTGTAGCTTTAACTGAAATTAGTTGATGCATGTGGCTAATTGTAGAATTTTCATGCCAATATCTTTTGCACGGTTTGCATTGTTCGTTGAGTTCACCCTTTTTATTATTATGTTTTGATATTTAAGATTTGTTTTGTAAGTTTTCGTGTATATTAAACATTAATGATGGTTTGAGCTAGATGTTCTCCTTTAACTACATATCCTTTAATTTCAATCAGGTAAAAATCTATCCAATTCAGATATAGTAGTACTATAATAATGCCTGATACAAACAGCATTATGTTGAAGTATCTGCTATTATATACGAGAAGGGGGGGGGGTGCCAGCCTCATTTTGCCTCATTTGGGGCAGCCAAAAAAGGCAAAATTGGGATGAGGCAGAATGAGGTTGTCATCCCCACGAGATATTATTATTGTTGGCGGATGACAATTAGAAACATGTACCCTACTGATGTTTCAGCTGTATTTTTATGGCCTATTTTCGGTTAGCACGCCTGTATAGGTACTGATAACACTGTAACATAATGATTATACTGATAATGATATTATTGACAGTGAGGATGTTGATTAAAGTGAAGACCCTGACTGGGAAAGAGATTGAGGTTGATATTGAGCCACAAGATAAAGTTGTCAGGATCAAAGAACGTCTTGAAGAGAAAGAAGGTGAAGAGATCTTATCTTCTTGAATTATATCGATTACATATTTTCGTTCTAAATAGACCGTGGAATTATTTTTACACTTCAGTTTATTCTTGACCGAGTTAGAAGTAACGATTAAAAAATAATTAGAATCGCATGAATTATTACAAATGTACACTGATGATCTACGCCCGTAATAATTTTAATCACTTATCAATTATTCAGGTATTCCACCAGAGCAGCAGCGACTGATCTTCTCCGGCAAGCAGATGAACGATGAGAAGACAGCTAACGATTACAAAGTGAAGGGTGGCTCTGTGTTGCATCTTGTACTCGCTCTCCGAGGAGGGATCTGATTGGTTCACGTGACTTTCCTGCCTTGTGATTGGTTGTGACCGACCGGGTGCTTTCTTGTGATTGGGCCATAGATATGTCATGTGACTGAACTCATGGGCTCTCACAGGTTGAAGTTGGTGATCATGAAAATTGCATAGTGTAAAAATGTTGAACAGTTCGAACATGACGACCGTCAATTTAGATCTTTGGGTTGTAGAGATCATATGAAAGAAACATTACAGCCACAAAATCATAAAACTACATGGTCATGGTGGTACGGTTGAATTTAATTTTGGGAGAAAGTATAATCAGGAAATCAAACGCTGAATTGGGAAATAAATATTTGGGTTATTTATCTGGTAGTCTCATGTAGCATATTGGATAGTATTCTCAGCTAAACTGCCAGAACTCCAGAGCGTATCTGCAAAATCATGGGATCAGTATGAAATATCTTCATTCTGCTGGGGTTCCTCATGTTTGAAAAGGATTTAATAAAATAACTGAGAGTCTGTTACAGTGACGTATTGTGTGAGATGAATATTTTACATTTGGAACACATTTGTTGTATTCCAGAACTGTTACAACTCCATTTGTGTAAATTTAATATGTTTGTAAATATTGTTTGTTGATTTGCTTTAAATAAATTTAAATTTCTCCAGATATATTGCAATTTGAGAATATATCACATTCATTTGTTTAAATCTGCTTCAACATTGATAATCTTGTAAATTGGATGTAGGAAATCGTTTAAATTTTTCTAGTTCTATTATGAATTAAATCTCTATTACTGTTATTTTTCAAATATAATTACGTAATATAATCGAGGATAAAATACCAAATTATAACAATCTCCACCGTTGTGTAGGCCGCATTAAGGATGAAGTTCAAGTGCGCCGAACTGAAAGAATACGAGATTGTGGGCAAGCCACTCTCCAAGCTCAATGAGAAGACACCCATCTACAAGATGACCATCTTTGCTCCTGATGAGGTACAGTCTTTACTTACTTTACACTAAATAACTAACAACTAACTAACACTTTACACTAACTTTAACATTAAATTACATTATTACAATGGGGAAGTCATGTCAATTGAGAACAATCAGAAGATAATGCTTCCTTTTGCACCCCTTCAGTTGACCACTGTTTTTTCGTTCACTGATCCGTTAAACCTAGCAGACACTAAATATTCGGCACTCAGCCACTCTGTACTCTGTAGCTAACATTACTTCGCCAGCAAATACTTAGTAATGTAATAGTGATCGCTGTAATCATGATAATGTACATTTAGCGATAATGTACATTTAGCTTACTTTGGCAACCACAATATCAATCAATAGATAATTTGATTATCCTGATAAGATGATTTTATCAATTCTTCTGCTAATTAATTACAAGATAACAAGCTTTTTTAACGTAATAAGATTCTTTCAAGTAATAAGATTCCCTCCTAGGTTGTCGCCAAATCTCGATTCTGGTACTTTCTGAGACAGTTGAAGAAAGTGAGGAAGGTTAACGGTGAAATCCTTAGACTTAGCCTGGTGAATATATTTACTGTGTATACACAATATACACTATGTATATACAATGATGTTATACTACATTCAAATACAGATTTCTCTATCACTGCTTTTAAAAAATCTATAATTTATAAACCCCTGTGATTATTCTTCTTTTGTAAATCTGTCATAATCTCCACTTTCTGAACTCAGTCCAATTTCAGCGTAGCAACACCTCCCCCACAAAGATCAAGAACTTTGGTATCTGGGTAAGATACGACTCCCGATCAGGAAGTCACAACATGTACCGAGAGTACCGTGATGTTAGCCGAACAGGTGCCGTGACTCAGTGTTACCGTGATATGGCTGCCAGGCACAGGGCCAGGGCTCACAGTATCCAGATCATGAAGATTGAGAGCATCAAGGCTGGAGACACCAGAAGACCCCTGACCAAACAGATGCACGACAATAAAATAGAATTCCCCCTCCCTCACAGAGTTCTGAAGTACACCAAGAAATCATTGTTTGTTGCCAACAGGCCTAGCACCATGCAGTAACTTATTTTGAATTTTATCTATATGATTTAGTTGTCTTATTGCTTACCATATCTAATATAATATGTATAATCGGAGAACTCCTCGTTGGAGTGTGGGATCAAATTTTATTTCAACGTCTGGCGCGGCTTTTCTAAATGCTAGCTAACTTCAACTTTTCGGCTCACTCCGATGTAAAGTGTCTTGTGCTAAGCATTTTCGAGATATATTTTCTTGCGCGCGTGGCGCGCACGCACGTTTGATTCGATACATTTTATATGGATTCGATCGGGGCTCTTCTTGAAATTACTCTCCAAAACCATAATAAAAAACTCTAATAGGTATGGCTGATACTGTGACACGGTCTTTCCTCAATACCCTAAGTTCTCCGAGCTTCTACAAAAGATCTCTGCTCATTTAACGGATGATTATTCGAGCAAACCTGTTAAAACGAGCTATGAAAATTCGATGTCGGTCCTGAACCGAGAACGGAGGAACTTCCTCAAATCCAGACTAGTACAGGTCAGTAAACCTTCTAGAAGATCAAGTTTAATTGCTTTGGCTGAATTACCTTCTGTCTGCGAGGGAGTTAATTTGACCATTTAAGTCGACCAGACGTAAAGAATAGAAATTCAACGCTTGAATAATTAATGGAGATCTGAATCTGAGCTGATTCGTTCAGAGTGATCTAAAATTGTCTGAGACGAATATGTCTTTGAAGCCAAAGACACATTCACCCCCAGCATTTTAGCCATTTCTTCCTTGAAAACTCCGCTCTAATTTAGAACGTCTGCGAAGAATACTCTACCGGTAGTGAAGATAACCACAAAATAGTTCGTGAAAGCATGGCAGCTGCCAAACTGAAGACTATGATAAACATTAACCACTGTGGACAGCGAGTCCAGCTGGGGAACATCAATGAGAAGGACCTGGACGTGTACTGTAAACCGGAGGAAGTTACGGTGAGTTGTAATTAGGAGTTTAAAGTCCCAATTAGTCAGACTGAGCAGGTTGAGCTGTAGTAATACACAGTTCTGAGGTGTTAAAACATTTTCATTACTATCTTCAGTAACATCCAAGTTGTAATTAGTAGTAAAGTGAGAGATCTAGTCAGTGAGTGATCTTACAATCACGGGTATATCCATTTACTGACTATTCAAAGGGAATTTACCATCAAAAGCATCTTTTGAACGAAGAATCTGGAATCGAACTCTGGATCATTGAACTGATTTTGCTTTACGTCCGATTTCGAAATGTTTACCACGTCAACTTGCCAGGTGATTTTGAGACCGGTTATCGAGGAGCAGGTTGCGAGCTACAAACAAACTATCGATGATTTCTGTGGGGCAACCGAACAAAGATCACCGAGTTCTATAATCCAGAACAACTGTTACTTACAATCCAGGGTTAGTCATAATAATACTGATAGGAGATCTAAAATAGAGCCTCACACGTCATCCTCCGCTGAGTAGATTTCTTAGTTTATTATCACGATTATGGTTTTAGTCACTTCTTCGTTTCCAGATTGCGAATAACCTGCGTGAGATAGAGGCGAATCAGCTGTCGTATGTACAGAATGCAGGGAAAGCGCTCCGACTGTATGACAAGGTAAAATATACTGTCACTTAAATCATGAAGAATTTAGACCAGTGGCGTTACTATTTATCTTATCTTATCTTATCTTATGAGGATTCGTTGCGACGCAACAAGGCCATCGAATGAGTCGACCACCTTTGTTATTTTACTTCGGCATTACCTGCATTACAATGTAAACCAGCACTTTCAAGGAAGAGCTTTACAAGAAGCGAAGGATCGTTCCTAAGGCCAGCAACGGTTAAGGCACTATGCCACACTTTCTTTGGCGCCCCAACAATTTTTTAAGATCCTACTATTGGTATCTGACAGAAGCATCCAAGTTGTGAATCCTCCATTAAACTGTGCAGGTGGCGAAACAGCGGACAACACCTGAGCAGAAGGAGAAACATCTGGAGCGGGTAACCAGTTTATCAGCAGCAGCCACTAAACTAAACCTTATGGTGGCTAACCTCGAGGCTAATATCTTATCAGATACTTATACCGCTGAAAATGGTATGTACTTCACTCGTTCTCTTCTCTGTAGGCTCAACTATTAATAATAGTAATATAGTCTCCATCCTGATATTGGTAAATAATAACACAGTTACTACGGTTGGATTTAGTAAATATGGGAGCAATGTCCAATTACAAGCTAGCTGTTTTCATACAATCATGAAAAAAGGTTAATAGTGTAGCTCTGTATAGTGTAAATGTTCACTAAAATCAACCCTGTCATGGTTCTGAACCGCTCATCCCACAGTAAGTGCATTGAAAGTGATACACGCGGAGATAGAAGCAAAGCAGCGCACTCTGGAAAAGGAGCGCAGTCACGCTCAGCACATGTTGGACGCGTACCTAGCACTCGGTGACGAGTTCACTTCACTCGTGGAATTGTATAGTGATCTCAGGAACTCTTTGGAGACGTATCAGTGGGCTCTGAGTATGAAGGAGTAATGGGAATAGTTCAGTATAGTTAGTGTATAGTAGACTTGAATTGTTTGTAGTCGTTTGTAAATAGATTTAGTTTTACCAAGTTTTAAGTAGCCGGAACCTTAAATCGAGCACGACTTTCTTAAACTAATATGTGACGAATATTTGAATTTATTATTACATTTTCTTATTGTCATTTTACATGTATTGTTTGATATCACATATTGTAATATTTCAAACTAGATTATCATTGGATTTTATAACTCTGTTGTTTAACCAAAATAACTATGCCAACGAAGTCTTAATCCAAATCATTTTCTTATGCAATTGCACTGAAACTGAAATCCAAAAAAACTGAACTGTTAACTTCATTAGAAATGGAGCAGCAAGACATCTCCTACCGCAAGTCAGATTACATAGAGACAGCTAACAACAACAAGGTCTCTCGCCAATCTGTACTGTGTGGCAGCCAGAACATTGTGTTAGGAGGTAATATTTTAGAGAAGAGCATGTTGTATTGCATGTGTAGTTGCAAATATTGTTTTTATAATTCTTCCCTAGCAATGTTATATCAGTGAGATCACCTTATCTTAATCCTGTTTTAGGGATATTTTATTTCAGCTTCCTATTTAGAATATGCAATGTATTTTACATAAAGTTTTAACACTAAACAGGTTATTCAGGAAAAACGATAATACAGAACGAATGTATTATAAGAGGTGACCTAGCCAACGTTCGTTTTGGTCGTCAATGTGTTATAGGTGAGTTATAACTGAGTTATTACTGAGTTATCACTGAGTTATCACTGAGTTATTACTGAGTTATAACTGAGTTATAGGTGAGCTATTAGGTGAGTTATTACTCGTTTATCTGAACTTTCCAGTGCTGTTTTGTTACTATTGGGGTTTGGTAGCGGTCACTGTTAGCTGTTCCTTTCTCTGCACTTTTATAAACTTGGATTAAAATAAAAACGTTTGATTGAAACCCACGCCCCCTCAGGAGCAAAGTCAGTGATAAGACCACCGTTTAAGAAGTTCACAAAAGGAGTAGCTTTCTTCCCCTTCCAGATGGGGGACCACGTAATGGTCGGAGAAGGCAGTATTGTTAACGCAGCAAGTATTGGCAGCTACGTTAACATTGGTGAGTATTGTTAACGCAGCAAGTATTGGCAGCTACGTTAACATTGGTGAGTATTGTTAACGCAGCAAGTATTGGCAGCTACGTTAACATTGGTGAGTATTGTTAACGCAGCAAGTATTGGCAGCTACGTTAACATTGGTGAGTATTGTTAACGCAGCAAGTATTGGCAGCTACGTTAACATTGGTGAGTATTGTTAACGCAGCAAGTATTGGCAGCTACGTTAACATTGGTGAGTATTGTTAACGCAGCAAGTATTGGCAGCTACGTTAACATTGGTGAGTATTGTTAACGCAGCAAGTATTGGCAGCTACGTTAACATTGGTGAGTATTGTTAACGCAGCAAGTATTGGCAGCTACGTTAACATTAGTGAGTATTGTTAACGCAGCAAGTATTGGCAGCTACGTTAACATTAGTGAGTATTGTTAACGCAGCAAGTATTGGCAGCTACGTTAACATTGGTGAGTATTGTTAACGCAGCAAGTATTGGCAGCTACGTTAACATTGGTGAGTATTGTTAACGCAGCAAGTATTGGCAGCTACGTTAACATTAGTGAGTATTGTTAACGCAGCAAGTATTGGCAGCTACGTTAACATTGGTGAGTATTGTTAACGCAGCAAGTATTGGCAGCTACGTTAACATTGGTGAGTATTGTTAACGCAGCAAGTATTGGCAGCTACGTTAACATTGGTGAGTTAGCTGCTTCATTGTCACTCAAAACTGCAATACAAACTAAAATGTTCGCTGTTTTTATTTAAAGCGTCTTTAGCTTACTAAAACTGGACAGTCTCCTCGTTTTGTCAGGTAAGAATGTGGTAATTGGTAGAAGAAGTTTTATAAAGGACTGCTCCGCTATCGCTGACAACTCTGTTCTGCCTCCTGAAACTGTTGTACCTCCCTTCACTTTATGGGCAGGTAAAACCCACTTTACTTTATATAGGCAGGTAGTTTATATTTTATTCTCTTTGTTTGTGGTAACTACTCTAGAGAGGCAGTTACTTTCACTTTCTCTTCAATCATTTACGAAACGAACAAAAAGAAAGTTATTTTGTACAGTGAAAATTAAAGACCAAACCACAGATTTGTTAGTAAAACATGTTGTAAAATGTTCAGGTAACCCAGCTAAGATAGTGGCGGAGCTACCGGAGTCTACACAGGACATCATGGTGGACTTAACACGCGGATATTTCCATCACTTTATAGGCCGATAACTCCTCATCAGTGTGGATTTGCAGGATATTTAACTTGTTTCGTTCGTCGATGGAAAACTCCAATTTTAATAATTTGGCCGGTGCTCTGTTGGGTTGGGAACAAGAGCATAATTCTTAATTTCCAAAATTCCGGAATTTACTTGTGGAGCTGGAGAATAACTATGTCATGTCGTTAAAGATTTGTAAATAGTTAATTTGTAATTATTAATTGTATGTATTATCTTGTACTTGTATTTAATCTTGCCTTCTTGATTGATTTTATGACACTTAATTATGCCAAAAAGGTTTCTAATATTTGATGACGTGCAGTTCCATTTGTATACCGCCGAATCTGACAAAAGATACATGATTTTGAGGAGTTGAAAGATAAACTCCTCAAAATAATAAGACTCGTCCCCAGTTTTCACATAAGAGATACTGTTACATTGGGAATGGAATTAAAATATGGTGGATGATTTCCGAAGTATTTTTAGTTATTTTTTGTACAGATTTTTAATTCTATTTACCTTTAAACCAAAAAGTGTCCCCCTACTTGTTTACCCAGTGAATAACGATATTGGAACTAAATTACTGAAGCTTTACTGCAAAGTTTACACAGACAATGCTAAAAATTTGGAATCCGCTTCAAAAATACACCGATTTAGGTTACATCCATAGGGGGTCGTTCACATATTACGTAATCAGCCGACAGGGGGGATTTCCAAATGCTTACGGTTGATTACGGGGGGGGGGGGGGGGTTTGGTTGTTGATTACGTAATCCAAATTTTCTTTTTTACCCTCTAGAATAATAACAATTTGACAATATTTTAATTCAAAGGTGCCTGGCGGGATATCATAACAATGATTTCGGCTCATCATGATCAGGGTAGCATGAAACGTAAAGAAAAATGACTTTCAGGGAAAATCGTCAAAGGGGTGGGGGGGGCTCAGGCCAGTGTGAAACGACATTGGGGGTCAAGACGTGATACTGATACAAGTAATATTGCTAGGCTGTCAGGGGGGGGATTTGAAAATTGCTAAAATATTGTGTTTTGGAGCTTCACAATTTAAAAGATTTTAAAAAAGAGGTAAGAGGCTTGCGACTTTTGTTGTAAATGTATGCTGGTTCGGAAAAGGAAAAACTTGAGGTGACCCCACGCACCACGTGTTTAATCAGGTGATGCAGTCAGCCAGGTACGTGAAAGATCGTATATCATAGAGATCGTATACAATTATGATAGACTAGAGATTCGGCGGAATGACAGGCTGAGTGCCGCCCAGTAATATAAAGCGCATTTGGTTACAGCTAGTTAGGGTTAAGGTAAAACACTGTTGTACTTGTACCTTAACCCTAACTCTTCAGTCGAATTTGAGTTTAACTGGTATGTCACGCAACCAAAACATTATTTTGTTAATAACTCCGCAGAGGAGCAATTCTAGCCAACAAAATGTGTATTTGTAGGTTTATAATCTACCAAGACGCGCGCCGAGTTGGACTCGTCGACGGTCTTGATAATATTGGAAACAATCAACCGTTACGGTTAAGTCTGTTGCTATTATAATACTAATAGAGCCTCACTCCTCTGTCCTCGTGATCTCGTTTTTCGTGATTCCTCCCGCTGCCTCTGCTTCTTTTTATCCCTACGTCCTTCTTCTCGGTCCCTCCATAGTCCACACTTTGTACTCGCTTTCCGGTTCCTCCATTGTCACAAGTGTGAAAATTTCCACCGGTCCTTAACTGTATTATAAGTTAACCGACATTTCGGTCTGTATTAAGTTACCTTGGCAATCCAAATTAATTTGCTTCATTACCAATACACAATAATACTAGGCAGCTGTATCAGTGTATGCTACTGAAATAATGTCTCTCAGTTCCACGAACACGTACAACTTGTGATGTGGAACTGCAAGTGCAACTGCCAGAATGACTATACAACACCAGCGCGGGAGACCGGCCCCTACAATGCAATAAAAATTTCGTAGAATCGACCATCAACCTGAACCATGGCTTCACGCTCTAAACAGGTCCCTGACGACTTCCTCTAGGCCTAGCTCTCTCAAATGAGGACAATTTAGCTGTGATAAAACTAAAAGCTCTAAAGTTATAAAGTACGTAAAATATTTTGCAGAGAGTATGTCATCAGTCATGTCCCTGTAAGAGTACAATGACGTTATAATTATAAACTGGGTTATTTGTGTTAAAAATGTTAAACATCCGTCCCCACCAATGAATCGAAACCAGGTACGTGGAACGTTTAAAACGGTGCGTGTGGCGAATGGTTGACATGATGGTAGATCAATGTCTTGCACAACCTGAAAAAAACTAAAACTCCTTTGACTTTGTATCACGTTGTGACCCCCACGGTCGTTTTACTATGGTAGAGTTTCTACGATACAGGGGGAGCCGCGCGCACTCGTGCACTTCGGGTTATACAACGTATGACAAAACTCTTTACATTTTTTGGGGAGTTCAGTCAAGTTTGGTGTTTTATTTGGGAGCAATCCAAAAATTTCGCTAAAAATCTTTATGTGTAAGCATTGGCAGTGATTTCATTTTGAAAATCTATGATCCAGACGGTAAACGGTGTAACTTTTTAACAAAAGGACATATTCTTCTGGTGAGTAGACAAAACATTCCAATGATCCCCAACAATAGCACTTTTACCAGGCCATTAATCCATATTTACACTTTACAGATCACGCGCACGGCTTTAGATTCTAAAAGAATCACATCGTCACAACTATAGTGTTGTGACTTGTGAGTTGATTCACGATGTCAATCCAATTCGCATAGCTCGCCGATCTGCATATGTGGTTGCGAGAAAATGCGCGGCGCGGCCCAGTAGTGCATCGCGCTAAAAATCAGGCGGTATTTAATTTTAAAAATGATCAGAGTCAGAAAGTCATATTTCTTATCAGTGACATTTGCTCTTTGATTATTATTTATTAGCGATCGTTCACATATTACGTCAGCAAGTTTTCGCCCATTTTTACCCCCTTTACTGAATTTTAAGACGACATTTCCAGTATAGCTATAACGAGCTGGGAACTAAGTTAAATATTGAGATCATCAATAAATAAGCTAGATGACAGAAATAAACTGGGTTGCCCGCTAAAAGTAAACTGGTATGTGGTAGAGTTTAGACTTTCTGACACACTCACACAAAATTACTTGTGTATCCCTGGACATCTAATATAAGGACAATTCTATTAGTTAACTGTGACAGATAAAGATCAATTATCGGCTACTAATGGTTCCCATAACCATAAGTCTCCCCTGCTCACCGCCACTAGTTAATAAGTAGTGTTTATACTATGTTTGTTTCTCGTTATCATGGTTACTGATGTTGACACTAACGAACTGGGGAGTACTTCATTAACATTAGTTAATTAACTAATTAACTAATTACCTAATTAACTAATTAACATTAGTTTCGTAGACTTACTGGAGATTAAACTTATGAAACACATATTTTAAATATTATTTAATAATCACGTGGTACAATTTACATGCTTAATAAATCATTACCAATAATACATGTAAAGGAGGAGAGGCTTAAATTGTAAAACTATTACTATTACTATTAGTACTATTTAGTATTTGGGGTTACACCCTGCTATCATGGTGTTCAACCGCGCTGGTCGTATACTCAAAGACAGCAAGACCTTCGCTTTTGGTTTAACACCGATCGACTCAGTTCGTGAGTACACGTACCTAGGAATGACTTTCACTCTGACAGGATCCCTGAAGGTCGCACAGTCCAAACTTAGGCAGAAAGGACTTCGGAGTTATTTTTCGCTTAAAAGCATGATAGACTTACGACACATAAGGAAAGAGATAATCTTTAAACTCTTCGATGCACTTATTGTCCCAGTAGTCTCTTATGGTCTATGGATGCCAGATTTGGCTCCCTCAGACATACTTTATGGGTGCCTTCTCATCGGGTAACTTTCCCAACCTAAAACAGATCAGGCAAGATCCACTAGAAAAACTTCACATCTCGTTTCTCAAGTGGACTCTCAACGTCAATAAACAAACATCAAATGCGGCAATTTGGGGTGACACAGGACGCTACCCTTTGGCGATAGAGCTATCATCCCAAGTGTATAACTACTGGGAAAGATTAGATAAAATGGAGAAAGCTGGATCTAACAGTCTTGTGCGACATGCCTTCAAAGAGCAACGCAGCCTCAGTCTTTCTTGGAACACCAACATCGAGACTGCACGGTCGGTTCTAAACCAACCCAATGGACATCATCTAAAACTCTCACCTTCACAAATCAAAGAAGCGATGCGTTCCAACTTCAGGCAGATATGGAACACTGAGAGATGGAACAACAAGAAACTAACGTTCTACAACACCATAAAGATGAGTTTTGGCTATGAGCAGTACCTCAATATGAATCTGTCGCACGCTGAATCCAAAAAGCTGGCTCAATTCAGATCAAGCTCACACAATTTCAATATTGAGACAGGACGTCATGGAACCCACAAAAGAAACCAGATCGTACCTCGGATATGTAAAGCTTGCTCAACAGAGGACATGGACATGCTCGAAAATTTCGCAGAAATGCCATTCTTCGACCCCATCATCGAAGATGAGGTACACTTCCTCCGGACCTGCTCCCTGTATGAAGACTACCGACACCGCTTTAGTCAGAGAGCCAAAACCTGTCTTTTCGCTAACTTAGAGGGGCTATTCACAGATGCCAGCCTCATAAGAGAGACAGCGAGGTTCTTGGTGAGAGCAAACAACAGGCGTTTCCCGAAGAAGGAAGTCACTGAGAAGGATCTGCTGAAGTCCAGCTGTAAAGTCCCCGCTACACCTCAACAGAACTCCTCTGCGGACACGTGACGGTCAAGTCGAGCTTCATTTCATTTCATATCACGATCACCATATCATATCATTTTGGAACATGTTCATGGGAATTAAATTATTTTATTTGCACTTGTTTCTCTTTCAACAAAAGATGTGACGAAGTTAAATTTTTATGATTTTTAAATTTTTATTTTAAGAAAACTCTTGCACATTATTTATTTATTTATTTCTATTATATTGATGTATAGTCAAGACGTGAGTGTTAGGGCTCTCATTGACAAATTTATGTTTAATCCTGTTTAATCCTGTTTAATCCCTGCAATTTATATTATTTGAGTGTTTGATGTTGATTGTTCATGTTGACGTCACTGATCAAAACCCCAACTAGTAGCGATTATAATACTCCACTCATGAAAGGGAGGAACCGTATACCACGTGATACGGTTTAAAAGTTCCTGGATAAACAGGTGCTCAGTAGCTTTTGAATTACTAGGGTCTGAATTATTAAGGATAAAAACGTTATATTTATATTAAGATCTAGTTAATGTTGGTCTATAAGGTGTGCTGCTGAACTAATATTGAGTCACTATCATCTTTAAGGAAATTATCATTATACTTTACACACTTACACAGTAGAACGGCATTTTAAATACATTAATTTGTTAATTCCATCAAATAATGTTCAAAGATAGCCTCAGAGTAAATGCATTTGTGCATATT